ATCTTGGGATTATTATTTGAATCATTCGTGCTTCGTGATGGACTCGGCGCTAGCACGCCGAGTGCGGGTTGGTGACTGAACTTATGCCCAATCGGGAGTAGGTTTGTCTTTTATGCACAACTACTAACTTGCTTGAGGGATATATAATGCAGATATCAAAGGCATGGCACGCAACCTTATGTCCAGGAACCCCTCTCCCGTTATATTCACATTTTGGAATAATTGATATAGTTACATGTTTGTTTTTAAACCATGGCCGCACCACATCACAACGACTTTTCCACGCTCACCAACTCCTCAATCGTCTGTTCTACTGCCGCCCAATTACCACCAATATCCTTCACACAGCCCTTAATTGGCAGCCTCCCACCCTCCAGATTCCCCATCCCCAGCACCCTGGCCACACACTCCTTGATACCCACCACGGCCCACTTGACGCACACCAGCTCACTTGCCTTACTCACCAACCACTGGAGTTGCCTCGCCTCCACCAGCGCCTCCTCCGTCATCGGGAGCGTAGTCGCCAGCTGATATAGCCTGACGACGGTCTTTGGAAACGTTGCTGCAAGACCATCTATCACACCGGCGCCGCCAACCATGACAACGGGTAGGAGCTGCTGCCCCTGCCCGCTGTACAGCCGGAACATCTTATGGGCGATCTTGGGTGAAAGTGCAACCTGTGCGTGGTGCGAGATGTTGCCGTGTGAGAACTTGGCGCCGACGATGTTGGGGTGCGTTGAAAGGCGCTCGAACGTCTCCATGGAGATCTGGATATTGTTTGATACTCCGGGGTAATGGTATCTACACACAAATACACAATTAGCCCACATATTCAACATAAACACCAAGAACACAACTCACATCAATATCGGCAGCGGCGACGCATCTGCAACAGCACTATACCACGCCTCGACATTCGCCTGACTCACCTGCCCCGCAAAATACCCTGGCGCCAGCACGAGCCCAAACTGTGCGCCCGCCTCGCCCGCCTCCACCAGCAGCTCCACCGTCTCGCCCACCGTCCCCGCCATCGTCCCCGCCATCAACGGATATCCCTCGAATCCATTCTGATTCAGCGCAGCCCGAACGGCGCTTATCATCTCGCTGCGTTCGGCGCGCGACAGGTGCACGGCCTCTCCCGTGGAGCCCAGCAGCACGATGCCGGCGATGCCGTTGCGCACGAGGTGTAGTGAGTGCGCGGCTTGAGTTGCGGTGTCAAGGGCGCCGGTGGGCGTGAAGAAGGTGGGGACGGGGACCCAGACGCCGGGGGTGGGGATGGAGGGCATTGTTGCGTGTGTGGGGGGGAGAGGAGGGGCGAGTGAGATGTGGTGATTGGGGTTGTGGGGTGAGTGTGTAGGTAGGTATGTACTTAGGTAGGGAGAGAGATAGTTAGATAGTGAGTGATAGGTAATTCTCTGCCTGCGGATACATCTTAAATATCATATATGCAATTTTTTGTGTTTGTTTTTTTGAGTGATGATGCGTAGCCGCCGGGTATAGAGCAGGAGCTGAAAGTTTTCCGGGCCGGTTCCGGGCCGGGTATGTATGCTGCTGTAGGTACATAAGTGGGTGAGTTTTGAGTGGGCAGCATAGTTGTATAGCCGCGGCATTTCCGGCATGTAGGGTGTAGAGGACTCGCATGGCCGGCGTCTATGGTGGGGGTTGAATGCGGTGATTGGTTGGTGCGATGGTACATGTAATATATCATTGATGACAAGCGATATATGGGATGAACACCTTGCTAATGCTTGGTATCTAATATCATAAGGAAGGTGGGTTATAATCCGTCCTCCTTGCACGCAATTGTAGTTGGGGATAGATTTTGTATATTGATCTTTTGGTGGAAGTGTTTGGTGGTGTAACTCTGCGAGATTATCTAGATAACAATATTACCTAGATTTGGGGTCTCTGTATTTACATAACTAAATAAGAGAAAGAAAGACATCTACGATTACTAGTCGATTTATTTGCAAAAAGATTTGATTTATTTGCAATTAAGTTTTCCACACTCTATCTACATCTCCAGACACATCAAGCTACCAATCCCTACCATTCCCTAATACTCCCATCCTCCCCCACAAAACCCCCACTCCTCCACGGCCTCCCCCTCCCACTCAGCCTCCTCACCGCCTCTTCATCCACCTCAATTCCCAACCCCGGTCCCGCACACACCTTCACAAAGCCCTCCGTCACCTCAAACGCCTCCTTATTTGTCACATACGTACCGATATCCTCCTCCCCCGCCTCCGTGTTATAGTGGATCCCCAGCGACATCTCCTGTATCACGTGGTTCTGCGTCGCCGCCGCAACCTGCAGACACGCTGCGAGCGCTATGGACCCCAGCGGGCAGTGCGGCGCCAACGCAACATCAAACGCCTCCGCCATGGCCGCAATCCGCCGTATCTCGGAGATGCCGCCGACATGGCAGATATCGGGCTGCAGGATATCTACGCAGCCCAAGAACGGCTTCACATCCCACCGGCTGTACAGCCTCTCTCCCAGAGCGATGGGGGTTGTCGTGAGACCCGCCAGCTCCCGGATCCCCTCGGGGTGCTCAGATAGTAGTGGTTCTTCGATGAAGAGGGGGCGATGGGGCTCGAGGAGCTTAGCGAGCTGCTTGGCCATGGGTTTGTGGAGGCGGCCGTGAAAATCGATGCCTGCGTCGAGGCCGAGGGATTTGACGGTTTGGAGGCGGTCGACGCAGGAGTCGAGGGCGGTGGGAGAGTCGAGCCAGGCGATGTCGCCGGTGGCATTCATTTTGACGGCGCGGAAACCTTGGGACATGCGTGCTTCGCTGCGGTAGGGTGTCAGTATCATGTGAGTGGGTTCGCGGTGGTGAAGAGGTCAATGATTGAGCTTACGCTTGGAGTTTAACATCGGATGGTTTGTCGCCGCCAATCCAGGCGTAGACTTTGATCTTCTCGCGGACCTTACCGCCGAGAAGCTCGTAGATGGGGACGTTGAGGCCACGGGCTGGACGTAGAGTAGGTTAGTATTATCCATAAAATGGGTGCGCGGAGGCGGGTGGGTTAGAGCTTTACCTTTCAAGTCCCAGAGCGCAATATCAATCCCCGACAGCGCAGACTGGAATACGGGCCCCCCACGGTAGAACCCAAGTCTCCAAACACTCTGCCATATCTTCTCAATCTCGCTGTTCTCAATGTTAGCACTTACTCTCTAAACTCCGAAGAAGAAGAAGAAGAAGAAAAGAGTTATGTAATACACACTTTGCTTCACACCCTACAAGGCGCTCCCGTAGCTCCTCCAGCGCACCCTCAACAGCCTCCGTATGGCCCTCCAGCGACGCCTCGCCCCAGCCGTAGCCGCCATTGTCGGCTGTGATCTTGACGTATAGCCAGCGCGGTGGTACACGGAAGTACTCAATGGTGGTGATTTTGGGCATTGTGTGCGTGTGTATTGGATACTACTTGCGGAGCTGGAGGCTCAATGTTGATTTGATTTTGCTGGTATATAGGTATGCAAGTACATACATATTTACACATGTATTTAATGCCATTTTTTTCCTTCGGGAGGGGGTGGGCTGCTTTTCCGGCGTAGGCGCCGGGGCCGGCACGGGTATGAGATGCTCTGCGGCTAGGTGACCGGCTGTGGAGGGGCGGATATATATGTATGCAGGTTCCCCGCGTTTTGGAACGCGGGTAGAGGATGAGTGCATCTCAGGGAGGTGCGTAATGTTTGCCTACATAGGCAGATAGGTGTAACGTTTGGCGAGAGGTCGGCGTTCGGGGTGTTGTTTATTAATTAGTAGAGAGACTGGTTTGGGGATAGCGCTGCGGTGAGTTACTTGGCGGGGGGTTCTGGTGTTACTAATATTTGGACCGCACCCAAAACAACAACTTAGGTGTCTGGGTGATCATATGAGGAGACACTATTGACTGGATTCTCGGGGGTTTATCCGGAGAATAGTGATAGGTGTACCTAGAGCTATGGTGGCCCGGTTAGAGTACCCATCTGTAACCGCAGCTAGAATTAAGGTACATATATCCCTCTTTATTTGGCTGTGTGTGGTTGGATTAGAAAAGAGATGACGTCCTATCCTAGGATCCTTTCTGGCTCCATGAATAAAGAAGCAAATGAGCAAGTATAGCGGGAGACCGTGGCCTCAGCTACACACACCATTGGTGACCGGCCACCAAGCACGCGTCACTCGCCAGCATCTCTAACTCTTGATATTTCTCAGTAAACCTAGCCCTCTAGTGCGGCTATTTCTCCGGTGCTGTCCACGCTCTAGTGTAGCTATCATAGGCAGTTCGATTTCATCTCCATTTCTGCGGAGCGGGCTGCGAATAATTCCACGCTTATTTATGGTCCGCTGCGCAGGGAATACACGGTGAGCCGCAGCGCAGTATCTGGTTAAATTTCCAGTAGGAAGGAAGGGTTAGATGGTAAAATATGGCAATGCTCTATCGATTTGGGGGCACATACCATGACAGCCCGGTATAGAAGCCATAACACATCTATAGGTAGTCTAGGGGAAAGATTTCGGAGTTAAGCATTCCGTGTAGTGGACTATACAACCGGTCTGGTCATCACTATTCGTGAAGCGAAATGTTTTGTGGGCTTAAAGTATGTGAATTGTTGATAACTGGTTTCATTGATGATCGAGAAGAAAGAGAGGTTTCTTCATAATCGCTTCTTAAAATCTTATCCTTCACTATAAGAGGACACGTATTGGAGACATAGCTCCCGTGTCCTAATACCACTATCTCCGCTAGCGCTATAGCCCAGTCATCTATACCATGCTTCTTGTATGTAGTCGTAAAATAAAGTAGAGCACTGTAGACCTCCTCTCACCACATTAGTGGTAGGATCAAGAGGTTCCGGCGGGGCTTGGCTCACATGCTCTCACTCGGGCTGGTCAATCGTCTTTCAGGGCTGAAGTGCTGTATTTCGAGATGGGAAGTTTAGTCAAATCTTGAAGCTGATATGTAGCCTGGGGGGAACAGCTCACAGAAAGAAGAGCTCGTGCTCAAAAATACATGATACGTAAGCTTAGGCCTATGTCGAAGCCTTTGGTATATCCGGCCTTGGCGCTGTCACAAGCAACTCTCGCACTCCTCTTCATCTCTCGTGTACATACTTTGCCACTTCGCCGGTGAGTGGATCTTCCCTATCTAAAACAAATACGTTACAGAGTTGCTGCTAGCTGTCGAGGCGGCCACTCAGCCTGTGTGGAAGATATGTTACTCTTTACATGTTCAGGATCTGAAATTAAATGTTTATTTGGATTTAGCTGGGAATACTTTCTCCCTGGCTCGATAAAGCGGGATGGTGACAACGTCAGTTACTGTTCATCGAACGGCGTTACGGCAATCTTAAGGGTAGTGAGTTGACTCATATAGCTTACAGTTATTGCTAAATGCATCTCAAATCAGCTGACAAATTGTATGGAGGTTCATCACAGATAAGCTCGAGGTATCCTTCGTTTTATCTGAGATCCAGTTCTTATGCATACATATGTATATTCGTTACATCGTTGACTGTAGGTACAGGTCTCCCATCCACCTATGACCAAAGCTTATGAATCCTTTGCACAGCTGCATCCAAGGTTTCAAACAAACAAATAGATTGAGAACAAGAACGAATGGGTGGGACTGAAAATAAAACACCCAAAACAAATAAAATAAAAAAAAGACAACCATTTACTCCCACAATGCATTATTCATAGGGACACCCTCGAGGGTCACCGTTTCCAGTAAGTATTCTCCCCCCTTATGCATGTTTCCCGAGCCTTAATACGAGCTATTTTGCAAGGTCAGCACATGCGCAAGGCCGGACGCGGGACAACAGATATATGTAACTTACATCCTCACGTTACTAAGCGCCTTCCTGATACTGGGTGGATTCAGTATCATATCCTTTGTACTCGGCGGCTTAATCTCCCTCTTTCTATTCCCAAATCGATCACACACCTCCTCCAGCGGGACTCCCTCCTGCTTCGGCGGGCTCTTAGTCCTCCCCCATCTCTTCCGCCCCTTCTCGGCCTGGATCATCGCCCTCTCTTTATCAATCTCCCTCTCCCCCTCCGGCAAGACCTCCGGCGCCCGGCGACGACCAAACCGGTCGGGAATACTCGACGTCACGATATCATAATTCGGGGGAATTCCCGGCGAGGCCTCGCCGGGGGATGTTACGGGTGGGAGAAGAGATGAGTAGTGCTGAGATCTACTACTAGCCGGGGAAGCTGGAGTTTCAAAAAGGGGCGAGTAGTGCTGGTGGTACTGGCGATGCGATTCTGGTACTTGGCTTGAAGATGATGGGGAGCTTGGAGGTTGTGGTTTTCGCCTACTGGGAGCTTCTTCTTCTTGCTGCTGCTGTCTAGAAGCGGGAACCTGCTGTCCCGCTGCACTGGCCTCTGCTACAACTTCCTCGTATGATGGTGGCGCCTCCACTTCGCTGTTGCCACGGCCGGCTGGAGAAAACGGGTCCAACCTCGTGTGTCGCGGGATATCACTCATTCTCGATGTTGGGGTTTGTATACTGCGGTGGATAGTTGAGCAACTGTCGTGGGAATGAGATCTGGTGAAGCTCGAGCAATGAAGATGTAACCGTTAGGATCCTGTCCATCCGCAGGACATCACCGAGTTTATATTACAGGTTGGTTGGGGGCTGCTCCGCCCGCATCACGTGAAAGATAGGCTGGGTGGTACGCTTGGCGGGGATGATCCCACCTTGGCGGTGAGCAAAGCCTCCGCACTCCACTCTTTAATCGTCTGTTAGCAGCACGAGCTCTTCTCTATTAGGTAACGATGACCAGATGATCCGCGGAACTAGAGACTAGAACAAGGCTTAAATTTGCGGCTTTGGAGGAGTTCATTGCGGTGAAGAGCGGTGAATATTGAAATTCAAGCTCATGCTTGTGCTGGCCATGGCGGTAGTTCAGGTAGGATAATGTAGCCGAAGATCAAGTTATATGGTTGGGCCCATGAGAATTGGAGCCATGGCGGGGTTTAAATAATTGCTTCTCCATGTCCTCAAGATACCTCGGTGGGGAAACGGATTCACGTCTGAAACGATACCGGAGAATTTGAAAGTTGGACTTCTATCCAAGTGGAATGGTTAGCAGGAAATACAGGTTTACAATCTGCCCACACTGCTGGATAAGTACCCTTTTACATACTACTCGGAGAGCAATTACATACTGACTCGAAGAAAGAAAAAAACGGTTCGTACTACCAATCATATTTTTCACCTTATCTACAGAAAAATAATATTCGGATCAAGGGCCGCATGGGCAAGGCAGACAGGCCATTGGAGCGTTGGGGTGATATGAGACCAGGCATGGATGATTTAAGGATTCGGAGGCACGGCGGAACGAATTCTATCATCTGCATGGAAGTTAAATATGTCTCAGAGTTGCTTTAGGGTTTAATTTCTGAGTGCATGTGCGCTCAGGCCATATGATCATCTCAACGTGTGAGGTGTGGCTCAACCGATATTTGCACAGAATATCACTCGGAAAGCAAAGCTTCACCTCTTTTTGTTTCAAACCGCTATTAAATATTACTAACACTATGGGTACGGTATATGACTACATGTCTAATTATCCGGAACTGACAGCGACCTTCTAAGCCTCGCACAGAATTCCGTCGGTCTCCACCCAGTCCTCACTACCAACACCAGTGTGCGCATAGAATATTGAGTTAGGATCACGGAGCTTCTTGACAACATAAAGCCCGGGGTAGTGGGATCCATAGAACGACTGCTGGAAGTTGGGCTCGTTGTAAGCCGCCTCAGAGAGGTAGGCACCGGCGCCGGGGGTAATTTCCTGGATCTTTGAAAGATACTCGGTGACCCAGTAGTCACGGAGAGCCTCAACCTCCGCCGGTGTAGAGCCGGTCGGAACAATGTATCCAGAGATGACGTGGAGCCCATTCTGCCTCCATGCAGGGTTGACAGCGTTGAGAGACATCAAAGCCCCAGCCTTGTACTCGGGCTGAATACTGAACCCGACAGCGGTGAGTCCGGTGTTGGTTAGGTCTTGGAGGTATGACATAACGCCCTCGGTGTTCTTCTCGAGAACCTTTCGGGGAACCAGACGAGAGATAGTCCCGGACTGAAGACCGGCAGGCTCAGGCCCAAATGAGTAGTACCAAGCATCGTAGAAGCCCTTGTACTCGGTGGCGGTCGCGTTGTAAGTCACTCCGAGGGACTCAAGAGTGCTGTAGAAGTCTTTGAGAAGGCCATTGACCTCGCTGACAGTCATATCAGGAGCAAAGATGGGGATACAGCTGAGGGAAGTATTGGAGGTCATGTAGTAGGTGTAGATGCCCATATCAGCCATGTTTGGAAGAACCTCATGGAACGCAGTCACAGCCTTCCAGAAGTTTTCGTAGTTGGAAGAGTTGAAAGTCAATGGCAGAGTGGTCACCGGGATGTCCTTCCATGTCCTGACGGTCATGCTGATGACAACGGCGAAGGTTCCTCCACCACCACCGCGGAGAGCCCAGAAGAGATCGGGGTTTGAGAGAGGTCCAACCTTCCTGTAAACACCGTCTGCAGTGACCACTTCCATAGCAAGGACCTGGTCTGCGGCCATACCGTACTTGGAGGAGAGAGGGGAGTGGCCACCACCTTGGATGTATCCACCAATGAAACCGACAGTCTTCTGCTCGCCACCGACAAACATAACACCCTTGGCGTTGGCTTTGGCGTAGGCTTCCTGGACTTCGATACCGGCACCGACCTTGGCTGCAGTTCCCTTGTATCCGAGAAGGGGCTCAGAGTATGAGTCGTAGAATGTTACATCTTTGAGGTTATGGGTCCAGAGAGAAAGAGCTCCGCGTGCGGTACTCTTGCCCAAGAAGTCGTGACCGGTGTTCTTGACTACGAGTCTGATGTTGTTTTTACGGGCAAAGTTGATACCGGCTTGAACATGGGTGTAGTCGGTCACCTAAATGAGTGAGTTAATAAATATCAAGAGAGGAAGAAGAAATGGCTTTGCTTACATTAATAGAGTATGATGGGTAGAAACCCTGAGTACAGCTAGCAGTAGGGTCTGATGTTGGCAGACAAGTGTTATTTGAAAAGAGTGGCGCCATAATTGAAGCCGGGTCTAAGATCAAATATTAATCAATCTCTCCTGCTAATAGTAATATTCGCTCAATTGGGAATGATTCTCTTACCAGAAACATGCAGAGAAGCGGACATCCAATTATCAGTAACATATGTGCATTTCTCCGCATCATAGTCGGGTTCCGACTCGTAACATACGGACGCCAATGGCACAACCTTGATCAAGCGACCCGAAACAGTGGTATTCAGGGCCGCCCAATCAGATTCTGAAGGCCATGCTGCATCTGTTGGTGAAATTTTGCATGAAGATGCTGTACGGGGTTTGTGGACTGCTGCAGCAGAGGTAATATCAAAAAACGCAGCAATAGCACCAAAGAGCAGCGGTGTGCTGACACGAATGAAAACCATTATGGGGGCTAAATAACGAGAGAAAGAGGGTAGGAACTGGATTAATGACCGTTGCAAGTGATTGAACCGGTTTGCAGTGGATGGAGAGCTCCAATCTATGTGGAAGATCTCAGAGAATATATACTGGTTCTACAAGGCCGGCCACGCGCGTTTTCCACGTGGGGAGGGAGCGGGTGAGTAGGGATAACGAAAGCCATCTTCGAATCTCGCGACCGCCGCATCTACTGCCGGATTCCTTTGAAGCCCTAACGATTCCCCAGCTATCGCCTTTGGTACAAGGCATCATCCTCGGTACTGCTCGCTACGAGAAGCTCAGGTAGAGTATGGGTGGTACTGTAGTCTAAGAGTAGCACTGAGTGGTATCCACCCATACCTACTAATGTGTGTACCTACTCCCCCTTGTCGTGAATCCAGTTGCTGCCACACCAGTAACGAGTAGATGGTATGGTTCCCCTGGTAATAATTGAATCTGCTAATGCGGAAATGTACTTTTAATTTCGATTAACAGGGGCAGCGATGGGTTCATATTTGCCTACTATCGTGAATGGGGCTTCTGTTAGACGCCATAGGCGTCAAAGGTGGTACGACCCCCAATTATTTAATAATTTGTGGCGTTCTGGCATGCGTAATGTTCCTAATGCTCTACCCGGAAAAGGGCTTTCTGCAATAATGGTATGGAAAGATTTAGATGTCCCGGAACCCGTTATTTGGAATCTGGAAGCTGCCACGCTGTTGTTGACAGATGAGAACGGCGGTATCTTCCTAGGCCCTGGTCCTAGAAGATCTCGATCGAATGCGCGCATATCTGCAAGTTCCCAATGAACATGACCGAGGAAGCTGGAGGTTGGTACGATTCATATAACCCTTTTATCACAGTGAGTATTCTTAGATATGTGAGGTATCTAGGCACTTTACTATAAAGTACGTACTCTAAAGTGAGTGGGTACATATATTTGCTAAGGAATCCACCATGCCCTGTCAAAACCGATTATCTATCAAGTCAATCATATGTGTGGCCACACCCTGCCTGCCTGCAGAGCCCCCTCTCTTAGATGTACCTTAATATTTGACTTGCGCCTACACTATAGGAAACGTTACCAGGATTCCACTCGACGGAGTGTTCCTTCCGAGCAAACTTCATTTTACTCTTCAGATTCATCTGTGGGCTACATATGTATGTTCCAAAGGGAGGAAGTATCGGCACATAAAATAGGAGCCGACCGATACCTCTCTAAAAGCTCTAACTCTACGCCTCCCTTCTCGCGACCGGTAAATGTATACGTAGGAGGACGGCGTTATTTGGCCCGATGGCTTGGGCTTGGGCCCTGGGGGACGACCTTTGTGTAGTTTGCCCTTGGTGGCGCGCGCTCTCATGTCCTACTCTGGGGAGACATCGTGCATATAACTCTGCAGAGTACGGCAGGTAGATAATAGAAGGTTCCGAGTTCCGAGAAGGTGGGGCAAATGACAGCTTGGTAAGTGTGTACAAACCTCTAGTAAACCGGTGGTAAGTCTTCGATTTTGTCCCAATTTATACAAATTATTACTTACCCTGGCCTGCCTTTCTCCCCTGATACTGATATGATAGAGTGCCTAGCTACTAAGCTAAATACAAAAACCGAATTATTAAGGCCTAGCAGATATGTTAGGATATCCCGAACTACCCTGACCCCACTAAGCTTAAAATGGAGTTTCTAATAAGGATGCTAAGCCCGCTCTTGGACCCTGCGGGGTGCACATGTCTCAGGTCGTTTATATGCATGGAAGCGATAGCAGTGAGCTAGTCTTTGGCTCTGTAGGATGTGGCATTTTCGGTGGATCCGAACCGTCTTCTTTCAAAGGCGTTTTGCTGTACTCTACCTGAGAGGAGGTGGGCTCATTTTTACGCAGCAGAAAACAACAATCCTGGTGCCTTAATCTTAGCCACGTAGGTATGGACATACCTACTTCATATATACTCTGGATCTATAAGACATGGCGTGTGTGTGTGCGTGTGTGCTTTAAGCTAGATTTTCTTACAAGAGATCTTATAGGTGCGCAATGTACTTACTACCTGGGCAGATATGTATGTGCTCGTCATGACCACACTCTTATAAATATTTCCCGGGTAAAAAAACAGGGGGAAAAAACGCACAGAGATGTCTCGGAAAACACGAACCTACTTGAAACCGCGCAAACAATAAATTCCTCTGCTGTATATCAAGGATGGAAAATGCAGCATTTTTGAGTGCGGTGGACATCGAAATTAATATATGGGTCCTTTGGCGCCACTGATTCTCCTCATCAGCAGCCATGTCTTATCTGCGTGGACGCCCCACTACAGCTAGCTCTTGCCACTAGTGCATGCTTCTGGTATGCTCTCCCGATAGATCCTTAGGTAGTTGAGTCACGGAAGAGCCCTGCTTGAAGTCAGGTCATCATGAAAGTTTCTATTGACAATTCCACCAATTTCACGCTATTGAATTCATGAAGTCACTGTCGGCTGAGGCTGTCACTAGCTGTTCATCATGTCAATCGGGAGTGATCCATTAAGCGACGAGTTTTCAGTTAGTAGGTATTCTACTTACTAGACGTATATAGGATGGCCCATTGGGGCCAATTACACATATAATTGTCTTGCATACATAATAGGGCGACCTACTGCGTCAAGCATGGTCTACCGCGAAGAGAATTGTCAACAAAGTAAATTATTCATATCTACAAGAAAAAAAGGATCACCCAATATATCTTCCTTCAGACCTAAAGGGGAGGTTTCCTATCATAATATTGAGCTTCTTGCTCAATGGTTATGGCGGGAACAGAAACCAAATTCCCAAGTACTTTTTTCCAAACAGCGCAATATTAAGCAAGGTCGGCCGCGGCAAGCTATATCCGGCGCCCACTCTGTATCGTCGAGACACTCTCCCCGCGCTCCTCGACATCCACCGTGATATCCATAGTCTTCGTAATCCCATTCGAGCCGTAATTGATGATGTGCTCCTCGCTCTCATTGTCCTTCGTCGTGTGGCTGTGGTCGTGGTGGTGAAGGTTCTCCTCATCGGACTTACGGCACGTTATTGCAATCCCATGGCCATACTGCGGGTCCGCATTTCCCCCTCCGCCGCCGCTAAGTGACCCCAGGGCATACATGTTGCCTGATTTCTTTGCGGCGCCGCTGAAGCCACTTATGCCACTACTCCCCGTCTTTGTCCGGCCGAACACCGAGGGCAGCACTCGGCCCATCAGGGGCTTGAGTGCCGGGAGCGACGCGCAGATTATCCCGATGTTGTACTCGATGCAGGACCAATTTGAGAGATCGACGCCGTGCCCTGGGGGGTGATATTAGTAATTGCACGCGGGAAATATATATGGGGGATAATTATAATGTGCATTGCGGATTAATTGAAGGGGCATTGGCTTACAGGTCACATCGACTTGTTGAGAAAGACGGAACAAAAGACTGAGACGGATACAACTCGCGATACAAACACTGCAATCACCAATATCTCCACATTAGCGACCCTATCCCTCAACTCCCAAATCCCGGGCAATCAATCAACTACAATGGCAAAGACAATACTCACAATGCCCCCAGGCCCAAAATGAACCCCAACGCCAACTTCTGCGCCATCGGTAGCTTGAGCCTCCACAGCGTCGGCAGCGGCAGCACAAACACAATAAAGTCATTCACGATATTGATGATGGCCGTGCTCTTGAAGAAGGCCATCTGGTAAATACACTTTCCGCCAGGGATCGAGGTGTCGTAGACGAATGCGACCGGCGCGCACTGGAAGATGTCGCCGAGCGTCACGGCGATGCCGAAGGCGATCGAGACCCCGATGACGATCTTGACGATGCGCATGTATTGCGCGTTGGGCGAGAGGCGGCGGTAGAACAGGAGGATGGAGAGCTTGGTCATGAGCAGGATGGGCATGTAGAGGATTTGTACGACGAATGACATCTGCGGGTGTTGGAGCGCATTGTTAGTATTCTTGTTGAAACGAAACGGTGGAGTTGATTTTTGGGATGTGGGTATGATTGACAGCGGGATCCGGGCGTGTGCGGTGTGTACCTTGAGTGAGGGTGCCAATGATAGGTTCGGCGGAACATCCCACAGGTGAAGTCCTGTGCCGTATCGTGTAGCTGCAAAACAATCATTTCTTAGCTTCACGCCCACTCATCTTCAATCCACCCCACTGAGTAGAATAAAGATATTATCACATACCCATACACCCTAATGTAGTCTCAATCACCGCGAACAACTATATCACAGACCCAAATTAGTCTCTCTCCAACAAATAAAAAAAAAGAATAGCAATCCACCATATAAAAAAAAAGAATATTCAACTCACCATAGCCACTGAAATCGCCATATCATCCGTCCCCCAGAACCTCATAATCTTCGTCCTCGTGTAGATCCTCGCCACCACAATCAGGAACGCCAGCACCGTCAGCCCAATCTGCACACCGAGCAGCTCGGGCACTCTTGTTTCCGGGTTGACATAGTTAGGAATAGGCGTCGTCGTTGCCATAGATATCAGCACTATCTCTCTCTCTCCTTCCCTTCTTCTTCTTCTTTTCTATATATCGATATCGATATCAATGATATATCCTATTAGTTATAAAATATAAGCCTTCTAATGACTTAGCGTTACAAAGGCAAGTGCACTGCCAATCGCGGGCGTCCTCCCTCGAAGTAGTAAAAGAGCGACTAACTGGCGGGTTTAGTTTAGTATGAGGCGGTAGAACAGTCGGAGGATGTGCGAAGGCCCATCTCAAAGCCTGGGGGTAGGAGGGAGGGGCAGGTGGTGGAATGATATGGGTTGGGCAGTAGTAATAGTAGTAGTAGTGGGTGGTGGGCTCCATGGAGCTACATATATGGCCAGCAGCTTACTTAGTTTATTAGCTGCTAGCTAGCCCAATATCTTGATACGAAGTGGGGATGGATGGATGGACGGATGGATGGGCTATGGGATGGGGGGCAGCGCGCATGGAAACTCTACAGAAAATTGTGTAAAGTACAGGTAGGTACATTAGGAATGATGTGCCTGATCCCCTCCCATCCAATACCCTCTAGACAGCCCCCCGCCCGCTCATGGGGAGATTTTTACGTTAGGCCAGAGGTGGGTAGGTGTGCCATCTCTTTCATCCATCTATCCATCCCATCCATGACCTATCCCATCCCGTGGGAACGATTACGAGTGGGAGCTGGGTTTGGTGTATGTATGGGTAAAGTTTCCAAGGAAACATTAAATACTACATGTACCCGGTACTGCAAGGGAACAGAAGAGGAATGTCTTGAATTGAGAAGCTGGAGAACCTGCATAACTACTGTCCAGCTCGTACATAGTCTAGAATACTCTCTACCGCCTAATCTGCATGTTCGGATATAATTAAAATCATCTGCATTATCTTTTTTTTTCATTTTTTTTTTCGCCATGTCTACTTGTGCACGTACTCACTCTGCTTTACTCTACCTTAGAGTGATGGGTGGCGATCAGATCGCTTTCGTCAGCATTATCTTACTACCTACTCTACCATAGGAGGCTTTTGAAAAAAAAGTCCTCACACGTATCAATTCTCCCTTGTGTTTTAAAGCACATGTATTTTCGGCAAGTTTTCCTGTGTTAGATCTTGACTTACTTTAGGGAACCGAGATGTCTCTCCCCTCAACTCAATTGTGCATACATACAGTTGGAATACGCGGGGAAAAGAAAAAAAACAGCAATACGATACCTCGGTTGTGGCACTGTCGTTGTTTCTACCACCTAAACTCTGCGTGAATGCAGGCTTTATCCTTGGATAATCTCATGAAACCATCCCATCTAATAACTGGCTCTCTAATCTAGAGTAACGGTAATAATCTGCGTAATAGTCATCTTATGATATACCCATACACTTGGAGGACCTGAGTTAACACCGATAATTGGTTTTGAAAGAGCACTGACCAACTGACCAACTGCAGGATAGAGAGAGAGAAAAGGGGAGAAAATTGGTAATAGGGGACCTTTCGCGATACGACTTCTCCATAATCGTACCATTCTTACTCCCTAGGTAGGTAAATATAAGTGAGCATTGCCAAATTGAGGTCCACAAGTGTTCTGTGTCGGTACGCAAAATGTGGAGCTGAAAAGTGTCACATTTTAATTGATGCCTTTCCTCAACGATTGCTCATCATCATCCCCAAGGAAGCTTCGCCATACCCACGCGACATGCGACCCGGCATCGCGGGAAGCGACTCCTGAGCCGGCCCAATCGAGAGACCGCCAACATTACACAAACCTAACGAACTCGCTAACCACTACTAATTATTCCATAAAGGGTAAGGCGCATCTTCTGCAGCATACGACTGTAGTCTCGGAAATCTTGACTTCAGGGGTGCAAAAGATCAAAACTCTAGATCTTCTCATGGGCCAAGAAATCGGGCCGACTGAGCACCATTTCTAGTGGTCAGAGAAAATATCGTTGGTGCTGTTTTAGGTGATGTAGTTTTGAGTTCTTTTCAACCTGTACATCTCGGCGGTACGAGGTTTGGTTGATGGCCAGATCAATGTAACTAATCACCCATTCTAACTTTCCGTCATTTCTTCCCGGCCTAGAATATCGGTAAGTAATCAAATCCTGCACCTCTATCATTGTCTCTCGGTGGTTTTGTATGTGTCTCAAGTTTTTCCCCGTGGTCATCATGTAAGGTTCAAGTAGAGTTTGTGAATGTGCTACATGTGATCCCACGGTCTTTCGTGGAGTTAGCCATCTTATCGCTAAGTCTAAGTAGCATTCCTTTTGATTCATATGCATCACCTTGTTCTTTGGGCGACCTACAATACCCTTAGTTATTGTCATTGTTACATCATAACCAGACAATGAGACAGGAAGGTATATTCAATTCACAAGAATTTGTTATCAATCTAGTATGTCGGAGTATCGAATTGTCCTCTTTGAAGCACTAAAGATTGTGAGTTATTTAATGTCGCCCATTATATATGAGTATATTTCGGAAGCATAATACATACATGTACGTACGTTTTTCAATCCTACATGCACTTCAAGGATCTTAGTGCTTAAAGTAAGCCTGGGCTAGTGTGTGCTAGTGAGGTCTATCAAAGACAACTTTTTCCAATCACTTGTAGCTCCATAATCAACAACAGGCGAAAGCCATTTTGATACCATTAGCATGCACATACGAGCCGGATCAACAGATCTCTTCAAGGAAACCGTCGCTGTGATGTCCGTCAATGCTCGAAACCGAAGTTACAAGGTAGTGCTTGTCTCTAGCACCTGCGCCAAGACTTCCCTAAAATCTTAGGTTTTGTTTCAGCTCCCGAGCGAAGCCATCTTGTTTTGGGTTTATGCTTGTCCTCCAAACAAAGATTGTCTCTGGTTTTGAAATAAAAATGGACGGTCGAAATTTTTAGACTCGGAATTAGAGAATTAAAGGTGAAGACCAGTATGACATGCAGGAGGAATATTTGTTGGTATCCCAAGCCCAAATGTCTCCGAGCCTCCCTCAAATTTGGAATAATGGCATGATATTTGTCTTTTAGACAATGCACACTTAATTGGGTGTACCCAACATGGGTTCCAGAACACAATTGGTGGCCCTTGGATTAAGCGAATGTGCAATCCCGAGACACCCCCGTGCGTAGGTCATAGGTTTCCGAACTCCGATTACATTCAGGGACGAGTAAATCCAAGATTCTTGCAAGGGTTTCCAAGTAAGAGAGTCACAGTTTCAAAATAGACGATGGATGGCGGTGATGATCGTGGATATACCTAGTAGTAAGCTTGTCTACCCAGGGTAATTCACCGAAACTCCACTCCCCTATCTCGTGATTCTAGAAGCCTGTGCGTTCGTGTGGTCAAGTTTGTGCCTGTATTGAGCGATCGGTGAATGTCCCTAGGCTATGGTTTTGTCCTCCTGGATGAGTGAATCTCACGGCTTGGAAAAGAAGGGACGGATGAAAGACGGGAGGGACAGGGAAATAAGAAGGGGACTAAAAAAGAATTCTAAAATCTTGCCCGCGCGTGGTACGTGTCTTGATGGATATGACAAGTGGAAATTTGATAACATCTAGCGGCTGTATGTTGCCTTGACTACTATGTAGGTACTATTAGCTCGTACCATACATAGTATGAGAGTAAAAGGGTTATAAACTAAAAACCTCCACAAAATCTTGACCAGAATACCGAGTGACAATTCGTGATTACTGAAACAATTGGAATATTGGACTAGTTACTTTTATTCATTGCCCCTGATTTCCCCGCACACCTTCTTTCGCAACCCAATATGTAGCACGTGTAGCACATGCTTTGCACTGCCTGGCACCATTATCTCTACCCAACCCATAAATTCGTTTATCTACCTGAATAGATTACTTTCCCAATCTCCAGTTTCGTTGTCGTCGTCCTTGTAAAGAGCCAATTCAATTTGACAGCTTGTATGCACCTCACCTTTTCAGGTTTCCCGCACACGCATAGATTAGTAGTTGCTAGCGCCGGTAAACTCCGTAGAATATTTATGAAGAGCTCACCTTTTCCAGTTAAATACTAAACATTAGAATCGAAAAATCTTTATCTTTCTCGCTAATATTCGGACAGTTGCTATAACAGAGTTGGAATGCCAGTAGAATACCCAACAGTGTGCTGCGGACTTCTCTCCGATGGCCATCGTTCTATCAGGCTATTATGTAGTCGCTAGGTCTTCTTATTCGGCAAGGGATGGCCGTAGGATAGACTTATAACGGTTAAAACTTAAGCACCTTAAACACCTACTAAATACGAAGAAGATAAATAATCCTTAATACCCATCGCAGTACTCCCCAAGAGTATGACTAAACGGTACATAATGTTATTCCTTTATAGGAAAATTAGTAGAGCAGAAGCCGAACAAAAACAATAACTAGACTTCTAGTAGCGTTTTGGCATGAGGGGTTGTTGCCTCGAGGCAGGCCATCTAATGTTGTAGTCCCAAAACATAAAGTTACAGAGAACCAACAAGTAGCGACCTATATATTGATCAGTAACTAATTCGCAATGTCTACGTTTCCAAAAAGGTTGCGAATCGATCGTAGTAGTACGTACATACCTACGTACCTATACCAATATAAGATCAATGCAAACCCGGCCGAGAAAAGTTCATAGTACTCTCAATCAATCCTTCAATACCATCCCTGCGGAATTGTATGGCTATACTCAAGTGTCGCACTATATAATATTGACTGGTCGATCAGTTGTACAATCGGACTAGTATGTCCCACGTGGCCTGTCATTTCCAAGTACAGATCAATTTGTCCGAAGGAACGGGACTATATATGTTGATTCCTAGGTTTTTTCAAAGGATAGTAACACTCCGAGTGCCACACTTTCTTGATGGCCTCGTGGTATAGTAACTCCAGAAGAGCTTTTGGCCTCGTTAGCCCCGTTGTGCGGCCTATAATTATAATGGTACCGGGGTTGATCATGATGCTGATCGATATTGTGCTGGGCAGTGTTTTATGCCCATCAGGCTTCTGATCAAGATATAAATAAGATGACCTTGAACGAGATAAAGATCAAGATAATAGAGAGGATGTAGGGGATGCGGGGGATGTGGAGGACGTGGAGGACGTGGAGGTAGGCTGGGCTGCACTAGGCTTGGTACATAAACGGCGACGTACGTTTATACTACTCTTTGACGGGGTATATATAGACTTAAGGACTTATAAAAAAAGATAAATACACTAATTATAAGCCGCATTCTCTTCCTCTGTTTTCAAGCACGGTTGTGTAAGGAGTACCAGTGGCTCGAAAATCTTGATTGGTAACCCCCTCTACCTATATATATCTATTTTTTCTCTCCAACGTAGTGTAGGACGGGTAGAAATACGTTTTCCCAGATTAAGTCGAAAACATAGCACACACTCGGGTTGTGCTGGTAGAGATTTGGATACAGACCACCAAGTTGCAGATAGAAGACAACTGGCGCTAAACCCTTGATTCTTGATGCTCATTTTGTGTGGCTGATTTGCTGCTAATGAACCTCCGTGGCTAGATGTGGGCAACCTCGCGATGAAGCCCCAATGCCGCGGTGAAAAACTCACCAAGAAAAACCTTCCTTTTGCAGCCTCCTAGTGACTGCCATATTCAAACTCTAAAGTAGCTCTCTCTTCTTCGACGTACCAATTTCTTTCACCCACTACCTAACTCTCCGGCTACCTGACGATCTGCATACGATTAATGAATTAAACAAAACAAAACAAAAGAAATCTCCGGCTACCTGCGCAAACAATATCCGTTGCCAAGAAAAGTGCATAAAGCGAGTGATTTACTATGATTGGCGGGCAGCTGCATGTTCCCCACAGAACAAGATCGAGTTTTGGGTATCACCGAGGAAGAAGCACAAAAAAAAGAAAAAAAGACATCTAGATAGCAGGTAAAAAAGTGACTAAAAGGCCTATGATATTAATATCTCTCTCTATCTGATTAATTCCCACTCGCACTAGTTGATCCTCTTGGTGCGCTCAGATATCGCCCTCTCTACGCACCAAAAGGTAGAAGCGTCTCGATCACTGTCAGTGAAAAAATTTGCACCGACAATAGCACCCCACTATGAAACATACCCTCGTTCATCCCACTCCGCGTACCTTTTATTGTTTTCGACCTTCATGATCACGCGTAACGAGTATTCAAGGATGAAAACAACAAAAGGGGACGGAAGCGATGACCAAGGGACTGAATCGTAGCCTCTCTATCCCAGCTCCACTGCCTTCCTTCTTTTTGTCTTGCTTTTTCTCATTTTGGTTTCTCGCCGCCTGTGCGCGAAAGCATGACGAGAAAAAGCAACACAAAAAGAAGAAACGCAAGGAAAGGTTCATGAGAGATGATTATTCTCAGTTTGCTCATCCCACGCCGCATACCCGTTTTTTGCTCTCAAACATACATCAAGGATGAGAACAAAAAAAGGGAACGGAAGTGATGACCAAAGGACCGAATCGAACCGTACCCTCTCTATCCCAGCTCCACTGCCTTCCTTCGGTTTGTCTTGCTTTCTCGCCGCCTGTGCGCGAACACAAAATGGGGCAGAAAAGTAAGACAAAAAGAAGGAACGCAAGGAACGGTCCATGAGAGGGCATGGTTATTCCCACTTTCGCTCACCTCACATCGCGCGCCTTTTCTTGTATAATGCCTTTGAACCATCCTCGAGACGGGGACCACAATGGCATAATACAAGAAAAGGAGTGGAAGAGGTGACAAAGGGGTTGGGAAATGCGATTCATACCCGTGCTCGTACTCTTGTCCAACCATTGTCATTGCGTCCCTTTTCTTATCAAGCCTGCTAATCCTACAGCCCGAATAGAGCTCAAAATGTAGCGAAGTTTGATAAGAGAAGGGCAGCAAGATTGAATGGTGGGGCAAGAGATGAGAGACGGACTGAGAATGAAGGGAGGGGAAGAGGGAGAGATGGTGTGTGGGTAAGTACATGTAAGTGACTGCTATTATCAGAGTTTTACTTTACCATAAATCAACCCCACGGTGAAACCTCTGTGGGTCATTTGTTTGAAGAGACGTGTCCTTCCCACAATGTGCTTCCGTCCCCGACCACCCACATCGTCCCTTAACCACGTGCAGGTCTATTTCCCCACTCGGTAGCCTGGTCTCCTGCCTAACATTGCCCCCGTATGTGTACCGTAACCTGGCTATCTTCCAAACGAAAGGCTTGCCATCTTTTTGAGAACGCATCTCTTTTTCGCCGTTTGGCATCCTGAGTGGCCTTAAATGAAGCCAGCACCCAAAATACGGGTTATACGGAAATATCGTGATGCAATTCATCCAACAGCTCCCTCTCAACTCTCTGCCTCCCGTAATAAACATTTCGATCGTAATGACTTAATCAATCAATAAATAAACATCTCAATTTGTTTGTTGGCAAAACCGCATGCTCCATTATGAAGCACGCGGTTAGCCCTAACTACCAGTCTCAAGTGCACGTCTTGGCACATGAAAATTCGCTCTGAAGCACTAACTTCTAACCATCGTTGTGGGGTGGGAGGCGTCACTAAGGAGCACTCGGAGTGCCAAGGTACGCAAAAAGGCGTCACGAATCAGCACTCGGTCTTGGCAACCCACGTTCTCAACACTTGCCTCACGATAATTGACACTCGAAAAGCGTGTCCCGCCCAGGGATTATGGCGGGGTACTTGGTGAAAGGGAAAGACACGCAGGCGAAGTCCTCGTCTTTTTTTCCTCCTCCCACCGTTTTTTTCTCCTGTCAAGAGTCGAAAGAACAGGGTTCTGAGTTTATCTCGGGGGTTTTTAGATTCCTAGCAGTACTTTTCTGTAGATTTCTGTGACCGTGAACGAGTAATTCCTGCTGCCCGGCCTGCCAAAGTTTTCTTGCTCCCTCTCCACGCTGTGAAGGCTTGTAGTTCCATTGTGTGGCCAAGATTTCCCACAGTGGGCAGTGGGTTCTGTGGGCCGAGAAACTTTTCACTCCAATAAACCAAACCACCACTTAACAATTTTCTCTCCCCCCACCCCTCTACCACGTAAAACATCTCTTTCTCTCCCTTCGTCTGTCACGTACCGATCTTCCCCCTTCCTCGGTCACGTAAATCATCTCCTCCCCTCCCTTCCTCCATCACATACCAATCTTCCCCCTCCTCAATCACATAAAACATTCCCTCCTCTCCCTTCCCCCGTCACGTACCCATCTTCCCCCTCCTCATCACGTACAAACCACCCCCTCCTCTCCCTACAGCACCATTCCATCACAAGATCCGAGAAAAAAGCATTTTTCTCCAATCCAATCACCGCAAACCAGTGCTAGTCACAACAACCTTTGTCACCACAACATCCTGCCTTGCATCTATCTCCATTAGCCATGGAAAATCGCAGAGTCCTCAGGCACCTATTGTTCCACCAGGAAGAAATAGTCTTTTTGTTAAGCAACCTTCGTATTCGAGCCGAAAATCAAACAGAAGGCAGGATGTACGCGAAATTCATCCAGCTCTTCCATGAGACTGCAGATGCTATCAATCAAGTTTCTGCGAGACGCCGTCACGAAGACCTGTCCGAGGACCAAGACATGGGTGTTCCTGGAGACGGCAACGGTGAAGTTGCTCAACAGATATTTGGTCGTGGCCCTGGTAAGAAAATCACTCCCAATCCTCGATCACCATCAACGTGTCAATGGCAGAGAACTGATCAAAGAAAAATTTAAACATAGATTTTGGAGCCTTCGCGACTCCACAAGCCCCGCTGTTTCAACAAATCCCGGCTCAAGAAGTTTATCCAGGTGAGTCGATGAAAATGTCCTAACATTAATTGGCGGGAAAAAGAAAAAAGCTGATCAATCCAGAAGCTCGTTTGTTGCAGCCCCCCCCGGGAGAATATTTCGAAAGGCCTAGGCCTGCCCCTGCCCCTCCAGGCCGTCAGAGGGATCCTATCATTGGGCCCTACTCGACTTCCGTGGTGATTGATCCTCCCCACTGGGGACAGCCAGCCCCGCAGCCAGAAGCTGCCGATGAAGTTCTTATTGACTTTAGTCAAGATCAAGAAGTGGCCTTTGGAATGTCCCAGGCAGAGGGTTATTCCCCGGCTGCCCTGGACCTCATGGAGTCTCCTCTAACTTCGGCGGCGACAAGCGCTCCGTCCGAAGCATCTTCATCGGAATCTGGTGATGTCCTCGTGACCCGTATCCGCAGGGTTCAGAGGCGTGGGTACGAGATTGACGATGACGAACATTGGGAGGACGTCCAGCACGTGGGCAGGAACGAGGGCGGAAGCGCCAACATGGCTGGGGATACTGTTAATACAGCCAATGACGTCGATACCTCCTCCACCAGCGGTGGTGAGGAAGAAATCGACTGGAACCGTAGACGTGCTTACACCAGCCCCAGCAGGCGCCTGTACTAGTTAGTTCTTTTGGGCCCTTAATTGAAAAGAGTACCCGGTACGTGCATGTGTTGAGCAGTGAAGATGATGTTTGAATAAGATGTCAATAAGGTTGTAGGAGGTTGGGCGATGGAGGACTCTCTGTCATGGCAGAGTCGAAGTTGAACGGTCTAGTGATTAAGCTTCGGGTCGGATGCATAGATCCCAAGCTACGACTAGTGCTGTCATACATGTTCACGAGCCTTTAAGCGAGATCCTATGATATCTCGCTTAATTAGCTATGTACCTTCATTGGGGCCTATAATTGGAGTTGAGGAATCTTTATTGCAGCTGTGTTCATATTGTGTTGTTTGAATATCTTTTAGCGCATTCTTTTGTTCTATAACCGGGCTCGGCGTTTTGCATCTACAGAGTTTAGTACAATGTACTCCATGTACCTTGAAGTTTATTCTAAAACAACTACATACATACATGTACATGCATTTAACCAGAATCTACAGCATCACCGGAAGAATATAAAGACGTCGAACCTGGCGAACTACATGTAGGAACTATGAAGGATCGTCGATTCTCATTTCCATAAAATGTGGCGAAGAAGAAAGAAAACCAGAAGAACCTCGAGAGAAATCCTCTATCTGGAATATGACTCAAGGTATGCAGGACGAGGGAGAACAGGACACACGTCAATCTCATTTACTTCTAGTCGGAAACATGACACGCAAGCTAGCATATGGGTGTATACGCAGCGTTGTCTTTATTATAAGCATAATTATAAGAATAAGTACACGTGGTCAGAGTCAGAGATACAGGATCTCATCCTTACATGTATTTGTTTTTTTCTTCGTTGAGTTTACCTGGCTCCACAAAACAGCTGACAGTATGCCTGGCAAGAAAACTCGCTTCATCCGCCTACCGACCTAAGTATCTTTTCTAAATCTGCGATTGAAGTTTTATTTATACGTGCTATGATCGATCCTTTTGGTTCCCGATTGAAGTTGAGCTCTGGCATTATGGTGGCAATGAAAGGACAGCTTATAATCAAGTACTGAATTCACAAGCTTAACCTCAACGCAAGACCATCGGCTCATCCTCCCACAAGATGTAGCTATAACGGGACACGGTCGAACAATCTGTGTACTGGTCGCGTCTGATTTGATTGGCTCTTTTTTGGGGGGGGGTGCTAGAAGTTATGTAATTCGACTCTCGATCTCACGTATGCAGCATATACAGGAGTGGATGGCTGACAGCATCGAGTCGCGGTGCATGGGTTCTCACTCGAATGCAGATTCTAACTGCATTTAGTGTTGGTTACCAGATCCCAAAAGAGGCTTTTGGAGTCGCTACTATGTTTGGAATCACTACTATTTGGGATTACTACTACTGTTCCCACCAATCAGGCCAGGCCTCTACTCCCAAGGGGGTTCAATACCTGGATGCAGGGCACGTATCATTGGCACCTAACCACAAGCAACTTCTCTTCTCACCAACTCGGACGCACAGCTTACATGTATCTATTTCTATTTATCTCGGCCCCATGTGCTCACCGTGTTTAACTGTTTCTCCTTCCCCACCATTCGGATCCCGGTGCAGATCCTCCATACCTCGGTAGTTCAGCCGCAACCTCGGCACCTCCCACAGCTCCATCTCGACACAGCTGCACGAGCATCTACAAAACACCAAAACCTCCCCAGCATCCCCCAGCTCCACCCCACAAGTCAGCCCACAATGGCCGGCCCCATCCGTCACCCCATCGACCTCCGCTCCCTCGAGTCCTACCTCGAGACCCACGCGCCCCACATCAAGACCCCTCTCAGCGCGCAGCAGTTCGGCTACGGCCAGTCAAACCCAACATACCTCCTCACATCCACGCCCACAGGCGCCCAGTATGTGCTCCGCAAGAAGCCGCCCGGCCAGCTCCTCAGCAAAACGGCACACCAGGTCGAGCGCGAGTACAAGGTGCTGAAGGCACTCTCGACGGCGGGCGGCGATGTCCCGGCGCCAAAGGTGTACTGTCTGTGTGAGGACGCGGGGGTGCTGGGGAGTGCTTTCTACGTGTGTGGCCTATCTACCTACCTACAATTGACGCACGGGGTGGACGGAATAACTGACATGGTGTGAAGATAATGGAGTACCTGAACGGGCGCATCTTTGACGATCCATCGCTGCCTGGTGTGGCCGCAGAGGCAAGGACAGCAATGTGGAAGAGCGCAATCACGACACTGGCAAAGCTGCACGCGATTAACCCCGCGGCAAATGAAGGGCTGCGGAGCTTTGGGCGGCCGAATGGGTTCTACGGCAGGCAGATCAAGACGCTCTCGACCATTGAGGCGGCGCAGGCGGCGACGAAGGACGTCAAGACGGGGAAGGAGGTGGGGAAGGTGCCGAGGTTTGAGGAGATGGTTTGATTTTTCTCTCTCAAAATGGTGGGTGTTGTAGGAATGGGCAGGCTGATTGGTGGGGGGATATAGATGAAGTTCTTCAGCACAACGCAGCCGAAAGACCGGAGTGCTGTGATCCATGGAGATTACAAGATCGATAACCTCGTCTTCCATCCGACAGAACCCCATGTGATCGGTATCCTCGACTGGGAGCTTTCAACAATCGGACACCCACTCAGCGACCTCGGTACGTCCTTTCCCCGCTCTCCCTTCAATTGACCCCGCCACTAACATTACTCCAGCAAATCTTCTCCTTCCCTGGCAGCTTCTTCTCCCAACGGCCGCAGGCGTCAGCGTCATGAGCGGCGACATCCGCTGTTTTCTCCCGGGCGCTACTCCTGGACTGCCGACGCGCGAGGAGGCAATATCATGGTACGCGGAGGCCTCTGGATGGAAGGTCAAGCGGAGTGAGATGTTGTGGGGCGATGCGTTCGGCTTTGTCAGGAACGCTATCATCATGCAGGGTATTGGAGCGAGGGTTGCGAGAGGACAGGCGAGCAGTGCAAAGGCGGAGGGATATGGAAGTAGGGTACCGGCGTTTGCGGCGTGCGCTTGGAGGTGAGTTTCATATTCCAGTTTTGGGGGTTTTGAGTTGAGAGCTGACTGACTGGGCGATAGATGTATTGAGATGAGCGAGGAAGAGCGTGCGAAGGAGGAGAGGGCAGGGGCGAAACTGTAGTGGTTTCTTTGGACTTGTTAGATGGGCTTGCTTTCCGTTCTGTTTTTCTTTTCTTTTATGATAGCGGATTAATATGAATTACAGATGCACGATTAATTTTGCTACCTCCCCACGTTCCGCGAGAAAGCTGGTTTGCCTCAAGAATGGTCGTTATGCTACTGCGATCATTGACCCTGATACCCACCCTTACCGCACCGTGATGCTGTCTCTGACCACAACGGGGTGCACTGCACTTGACAGTGGGTTACCTAGATGTATTCAGGAGTGGTATGAAGGTAATAATAGTGGAGGATGTTGGATTTATAGTGAAGGACCCCAAAACACTCGAGGCCGATGATCATATACCCTCTACTAGGCATAAACCACTATTCATGCGTAAATCTATCAACTAAAAGTCCAGGCGTAATTATTAGGGCTGTTTCGCTGCTAGTCAACTTGTATACCCCTGCGGCGCTCTGTAGATAACAATGCCGCAGAAATATAGTACGGCGCTGAGACATATCGCACTCCTAGCTCCTGACAGCCATAATCTAGCTCATAATATACTGCCTGCAAGAGGCTGCAATCGAGGTACAGTAACTCAAGTCCAGAACTTTTGAGCGCGCCTCGCATGCACTCGATAAAAATCATATAAATCTCACCCAGGATGCCGCTTAGATACATGTAGACATGGTTTTAGTTTTATGGCTACATGTGCATGTTTGCATCAGTTCGAGAAGGATCAATACGTGAATACAGAGAGCAGTCAACAGTGATAGTAGTCTGGCACATGGACATTAAGGCGTCTAGGGAAGGCACTAGAGCACTCCCCACCCCACGACTGGATATGTTGTCTGTCTCTGGATGTACACGGATTTGGGGTGAGGCTTGTGCTGTTTTAATGATGTCTTATTTATGGTATGACTGTACTTAAAGGCTAACGTCACAAGTAGGCCTATATGTGTGCGCGGGGCAGTTCACGAATGAGGAACACGAAGGCCTCTTCTTTTTACGGAGATACCTTACACTTGACAATTATATCAGCGGCAGATGTTGATAGCTACGAATGGAGGGGAGCAAGTAATGTACGACTACCGGAAGCTTATAATCTCACACCAAGAACGGCGGAGGAGGTGAACGCTTACATCTTTCCTATAGTCACGATACAGAAGAGAGAAAACAACCACAATAAATACATCACAATCGAATCCAACAAAAACCCCTTGAAACTCAATACTCTACGCTACATAAAAAAAAGTCCAAAAGAAACCCCCTCGCCACTACCACCCCCCCTCCGTCCACCTCTTCACAAACCTCTCCACCAACCCGCCCTCCACCACATCCACCGCCCCACCCACCGCAGGACTCCACCTCCTCGTCACCTCCGTCTCAAACTCCAGCCCCTTCCTCCCCGGCATGTCATTGTCATACTTATCCTCAAAGAACCTCGTCAGCTTTACCGTCGGATTCCTCACGGGGTCCTGGTCCCCATCGCGCAGCCTCTGCACCCACTCGCGCTGCGGGACAACCTCGAACTCGAGGCCGGCGGCGCGGAGCGCGGGGAGGAGGTCGTGCGTCCAGGAGAAGACCTGGGGGTTGAGGACGTGGTAGACGGTGGTCGGTGTGTCCTGTGGGAGGGGGCAGGAGAGACCGGATAGTTCCAGGACTGCCTGTGCGACTGTATCCACCGGCATCCACGATGGGGTCTATCACCACCACCAGTCAGTCAGCGCACCCATACAGCCAAAAAAAAAAAAAGGAACACAGATGAAACAAACCTCATCCAGATCTGGCAACACGCCCAATGTAACCGCACTCCTAAGCATCAACGGGATCGCCTCTGTCCCACTCCACACGCCCACCTTGCTATCTCCCACGATCTGCCCAATTCTCAAAACCCTAGCATGTACACCAGTCTTACTCGCTGCCGCACCCACTATCCTCTCCGTCACCAGCTTCGACCTCGCATACCCCATCCCCTGCGCGTGCGCCAGCTCCGGTACCTGTGTCTCCTTAATCCGTGCTGGCAGCGGCGTTCCTGCAGCCGCCGAGATGGAGCTGCAGAAGAAGAAGCGCGCCGGGCGAGGTGTATTCACGGATAGACACAGGCGAAGGAAGTTATGTGCGCCAGCGATGTGGTGGGTCTCAAATGAGGCGACGCCCATGTTGAAATTTACGGCCCATGCGCTGTGGACCACGGCCGTAAGAGTGTTGCGGAGATGGGAGAGTGTAGCTGCGTCGAGGCCGAGGTCAGGGCGGCTGAAGTCGCTGGGGAGGGCGGTGGCTTTTGATTGCTGCGCGGGCGAGGGCTGGAGGCTGCGTTGGGCGAGGGAATTGTGCACGCGGGTTAGTGCTTCCGCCGGCGACGGAGCGCGGACAAGGCAGTAGACGCGCTTCACGCTCTCGAGTGGCAGAATTTGCGCCAGGATGTGTGCGCCGAGGGAGCCCGTTGTTCCCGTCAAAATCTATCCCCCCGAAATCCATATCCGTTAGTTCAGTGTCAATGATCGAACGACAGGTAATGATCGAAAATGCAGGTTTTTTACATACCACTGTCTCCCCGTCCACAACGGCGTTCCCGGGCACATGCGGTTCAAAGACCGAGTATTTCTCTACCAGGCGCTTCATGACCGCGACGTCGTCGACAACGTCGATCTCGCTGCCCGTCCGCAGCGCGTACAGGTACCGCGCCAGACACTGGACATTCGGCTGCTCGAACACCACAATCTGCGAGAGCTTTCCGCTGTTTCCACTGAAGCTCAGCGTCTTCTTGAGCTTGTTCCATACGCTGATGGCACGCAGACTGTCCACGCCCGCCAAGAAGAAATCCGACGTCGTGGACTCAAGCTCCACACCCGTTTCTTTGAACAGCGAGAGCAGGAATGTCTCGAGCCCAGGAATGTCGAGCACCAGTGTCCCCTCGGCGGTGTTCTCGAACGCGGCATAGATGGCGGAGATCTCGGGTTCGAACTGCTTATAGAATGCGGCGCGGATCACAGTGCCCTTGTCGGTGCTGGGGTAGTCGACGCCGCGGGCCACGATCCCAACCATCTCTTTTGATATCTGCGAGAACGACTCTGCGCGCGTGTTTGCATCTTCGATTGCCGGCCAGACGCTATCGCGGATTTCATCATCGCTCATGTCCGCGGCGTGCTCACTGGGTATCAGCAGGATGCCGGGCACGCTCTTACCAATCCCGAAGACCACACATTCCTTCACGAGCGGATGCTCCCTGACACGTCCTTCAATCGGGATAGGTAGCACCTTCTCCCCGTTCACCAGCGTCACGCGGTCGTCAATGCGGCCCAGATACTTCCACGCGCCCTCGATCGCCGCATGCTTCACAAACAGGTCTCTCGTGCGGAAACTATTCGGCGGATCATCCGAGTTGCTACAAACCTTCGCCTTCCACCCGTCCCTCACCACAACCTCATACGCATCGCTCCCCGCCACACGGTCCATGAGCAGATACGGCTCCAGCGGCTTCGGCACCCGCACATAGTTCCACGCATCATCGCCCGCCGGCCGAAACGACGTCATCAGCTGCCCCGTCTCCGTAGCGCCGTAATGGCCAACCAGGCTGACGCCGGCCGCCACCAGCCTATCGCCGAGCTCGTCCGGGCAGCTGCTGCCGCCGAAGAGCACAAGCTGGCATGAGCGCAGAGCCGCGATGCCGCGGGGCGTCTCGGCGAGGACCTTGAGTGCGTAGGGGACGCCGTAGAAGATCTGCGGGCGGGTGTGCTCCATTGCGGTGGCCAGGTTTGCGCCGGTGAGGGGCAGGCCGGGGTTGAAGAAGGAGATGACGTTGGAGGAGAAGACGGCGCGCATGAAGGAGGAGATGCCGTGGTTGTGGTATAGGGGCAGCGTGATGAAGCCGCGGAGCGGGAAGGAGGACGAGTAGTTGAATAGGCACGCCGCATGGGTCTGGAAGATTGGTTTTGGAAGCCCCGTTGAGCCAGATGAGTGGACGATGAACGCGATCTTCGCCGCCTCAGCTGCTGTGGAGCGGTGGAGCGTTAAGCGGGGCTGCGGGTGCGGCTGCTTCGCGGCATAGGTGCTCTTTGGGATGATTGTGAATGAGCGGAGCGCCGGCTTCGCTGCTCTCACCGCTGTGAGGAGCGGGGCGAAGGCGGGCGTTGTGATGATGGTTGTGCATTTCGTGCTTGTGAGGAGGGCCGAGACGGCGTGTGCGGAGAGGCGGTTCGAGAGGAGGAGGACGGAGAAGCCGAGGCGCTGGAGACCAAAGAGGGTCGCGATGTAGTCGATGTCTGAGGGGGCCAGGAGGGCCACCACTGTTCGTTCGCCGTCGAAGGGGTCCTGTATAGCCAACATCTCAATTAACCAGCCATAAATATAAGAAGCATACCTAGATGCAAAACAAGTAGATGGAGAACAAACACACATTAGGGGCCAGCCCAAGACCGAGATACCCCCTCGCCGTCCCCTCCGCAAAGCCATCCAGCATCCGCGCCGTGTAGTCCACATAGTCCGTCAGCCCGCTCTCGGAGGCTGGATACGAGACCAGCGGCACGTCCGGCGCGGTCCTGGCGCGGTGCACGAGGAGGTCGTTGACTGTGTAGAGCACATCGCTGTCCTTGTCCTCTTTGGCCTCGAGGGAGGTGGTGGTGGTGGTGGAGGAGGCGGCGTAGACGGGCTTGTCTTGCGCGGCGGGGAGCGTGAGTGCTGCGGAGCTCATTGTGGTGGTATGGTATGGTAGGTGGGTAGTAGATAGGAGCAGGTTGGTGGGGAGGCGCGGCAGCTTCAATGCTGCAGAATAATAAAGATAGAGATGAGAGATGAGATGGAGAGATGAATGCAGTAAATTAATAAATACACCTACCCAGCCTGCTCTCCTCCCCCCCCCCTCCCCTCCTCCTCCTCCTCCTCCTCCTCCTCCTCCTACTCCAATCCCCACTACCGCAACCACCCCGACTACTCCAACTAACTAGCTGCTGCCGCCCGATAAGACCCACGTGCACATGCGCCAAACCCGGAATTCAACCCGGCGCCGGATATCGTGCATGGCATTTCCGGAAAACCACCCCGGCGCTGGAGCTTTTCCGCGAGAATCATGTACGGATGCGGTAGCGGACCGGGGTGGCGGCCCGGCTGGGGTGGGCCGGAGAGTAGCCGGGTATGGGCACATGCATGTAGCCGAGCGGGTATATATTCTTTTGTGGGCGGTGCGAGTGATAGCCAGCACCTCGGCTTTGTGGGGTAGTTAATTATATTGGGATGGAGGGAGATGTGATATATTTGCCCGTTTCTACCCTCTTAAGCACTCGGTAATACTACTACTGTTTCTCCTACTATTTTCCCTACCACTAGCCAGCCAGGCCAGTGATAAAAAAAACCAGTACTCTAATCATTACCCACCGCCACCACATCAACAACAACCAGAAACACCAGCAGAAACACCACCAACAATGTCACTCGGCCGCACCTTCACCCTCAACTCGGGGTACAAGATCCCCGCCATCGGTCTAGGAACCTGGGTATTTCCACCCCCAACCCCCCCACAAATTAACAAACTACTAACACACCACAGCAATCCGCCCCCAACAAAGTCAAAACCGCCGTCGAAACCGCCCTCAAGACCGGCTACCGCCACATCGACGCCGCCTCCGTCTACGGCAACGAGGCCGAAGTCGGCGCCGGCATCAAGGCCTCCGGCGTCCCGCGGGAAGAAATATTCGTATGTCTCCCCCGTTCGATCTCTCCCCCTCTCTCCTCCTTCCCGCCCCATTGCTCTCCTCCCCCAGACACTCCCCAATAGCACTAACACCCACTAGATAACGTCCAAACTCTGGAACAACGCGCACCGCGCCGCGGACGTCGAAAAAGCACTCAACAAGTCCCTCTCCGACCTGCAACTCACCTACATAGACCTGTACCTCATCCACTGGCCCGTCGGCTTCGTCTCCTCGCCCGAGATCTTCCCGACAGAGCCCGACACAAACCTGATCGCGCTCGACAACGTGCCCATAAAGGAGACATGGCAGGCGCTGGAGCGCCTCGTGGAGCAGGGGAAGGTGCGCAGTATTGGCGTGAGTAACTTTACGAGGGAGAGGATCGAGGAGATTCTGGCGTTGTGAGTACACACCCCCTTCCCGCTACGAAAGCTATAAAGCTTCGCAAGCTATAAAGGCTATATGAAACTGACACACAACAGCGCAAAGATCCCCCCCGCTATAAACCAAATCGAAGCCCACCCCTACCTACAACAGCCCCCGCTCCTCACGTGGTGCAAAGCCCAGAACATCCTCATCACCGCCTACAGCCCGCTCGGCAACAACATCTACAACCTCCCCCGCGTCGTCGACGACCCGCTCGTCGTCGAGATCGCCTCGCAGCTCGGCAAGCAGCCCGCACAGGTGCTCATCAACTGGGCTGTCCAGCGCGGGACCGTCGTGCTGCCAAAGAGCGTGACGCCTGCTAGAATCGCCACTAATTTCGAGGAGTTTGTTGTTCCCGAGGAGGCGTTTGAGAAGATTTCGGCGCTGGAGAGGAAGGGCAGGATGAACTATCCGCTTAGGTGGGGAATTGATGTGTTTGGGGAGAAGAGTGAGGAGGAGGCGAAGAAGGTGGCGAGAGACTGGGCGGAGGGGCAGAAAAGGTTGAAGGCGGAGAAGGGGGGGGAGTAGAGTAGATTTGTATATATATCATGGTGTACTGAGGGGCGGAGGTATATCATCTGTAGAATTCCATCTGGGTTTTGGTGGCCTGTAAATTTATTTTCATTGATATCATATCGCAAAATCAGTACGGTATTAGCAAGCTAGTCAATCGTTTCTGAAGATGCGGTTGATAAATATCTTAGAAACTTGAAACACACAATCCAAACTATCTTACGTGACTGAATATGGTTCTGTTGGTATCCAAATAGTTTTGCTGATATATATCCCAACAACTCATCTAGGAATATCATCTAGTACGAGCTAGCAGTTAAGACCATGCTAGATGTGTGACCTGTGGTACTACTTTGGGTCTTTTTGCTCGCCCAATTACCCCGAACCCCGAGACTCGAGCTGTCGTTAATATGATGTAGTCAGCCAGATTGTAGCTAGTCTTCGAATATAACCCGCATTTTAATCATTGACCCCCAATTGATCATAGGCAAACAGTACAGCATGGCCCTCAGATCAATAGCCATCCCCCCGCCCCAAACAAGCTCTCTCCGCATCGTAAACCCCAGGCACATCTATCAGAGATCTTCCAGTCGCACCGTGCCGTGCACCCGACCCCTGCGTACACTGCATGATCCAGAGTGACACCCAATGACCCGGCTATACCCCACGCCAAGACCGCCCATATCCGCGCTACATTTCCGCCCATAAGCAGGCCATTCCCGTCCCGTCCACAACCAAACACTCACCACACTCAAGCCTTTTTTTTCCCCTATCAGATCATCTCTCAAATAATTTAAAAAAATACTAGAAATAAAAAATGTTACGGCAAACACCACGGATAACAAAAGAGCGCCAGCGCGTCAGCCGGGCCTGTGACGCTTGTAAAAAGTTTACCCCCCTGCTAGACCCGAGAACCGCCCGGTCATTGCATGATGCATGGCGCGATTGATATTCGATTATCAGAGTAGCCCGGGGGAAAAAAACTGGATAGAACGGGACTAACGCGTGCTGGGACATTAGGAAGAAGATAAGATGCAGCGGGACACAGCCTTGCGTGCGCTGTGTCGAGTGGAACATCGAGTGTCTATACAACGCCGAATACAATCGAGGGAAGCCGCGCTCAAGGACGTGGAAAGCCTGTGGCGACACCTTAGGTCGAGGGGGAGGATCTGTAGCAGGGCTCAATAGTAGCAATAGTAGCAGCAGCACTAGCGCCGTCGACGGCACTAGAAGCATTGGTGGTGGTAGCATGGATAGTAGCAGTATTGGTAGTAGTTCTACCGCTGCTACTACTATCATTTCCACTGCCAGAGCTAAAACACACCACCACCACCACCACCACAGCCCATTGCAGATGGCGGATACCATGATGCCCTCCTCCTCCGCTGGGGCCACCACCGCCGCAGCCTCAAACTCTATCACGAACCCCCACTCACAGATATCCACGCCAGCGGCGAATCATGGTCGTACCTCTGTGTCCACGCCGCACTTGCACCCCTCCTCACTCCGTCCCGAGAGCTACTCCTCCCGCAACTCTCCAGAGCCCTTCCACACGGACCGTCAAGGCCAATATGTCGGCTCCTCATCCGGCGTGTCGTTCCTCCTCCGCGTCCAGAAGCGCCTCCACCTGATAAACTCGCCGGCGTCGAACTCGGCAATCTTCCCTAGTGGTGACGGGCTACCGAGTAGCTATGACGCAGCATCGTTTATCTTGCCGCCCAAGCAGGATGCTCTGGAGCTGCTGGAGGTGTATTTTAGCTATGCGATGCCTACGTATCGATTTCTGCATAGGCCAACGGTCGAGGCCTGGCTGGACGAGTTCTATGAGAACTTTGAAGAGGGCGGTTGCGAGAGGGAGAAAACGGCAATATTGTTGTTGATCTGGGCGCAGGCGAAGAAATACTCGGTGTTGACCAAGAGCCAGAAATCGAGTGATGGCGGGTGAGTCCATACTTTTCGCGTCATCTAATATCAACTAACATCACACTGTCAGTGCCCGATACTTCCACGCAGCTGAGCGATATCTTTCAGCAGACACAGGCCCAATACGCCTCACAAACGTGCAGGCCCGTCTCTGCCAGTGCTTCTACCTCCTGGCCTGCTCCCGTCTCAACCACTGCCGCTCCCTCTTCGGTACCATCGCCCACCTCATCCACGCCCTCGGGCTCCACCGCAAGCCTCGAAAGCCCCTCACCTCTGCTACTACACCAATCGACCATATCGAGCAAGAGTGCCGCAAGCGTGTCTTCTGGTGCGCCTACAACATGGACAAATACCTCTCCGCAGTCCTTGGCCGCCCTAGTATCTTCCACGACGACGATGTTGACCAAGAGCTCCCCTCCGAGGTCAACGACGAAGACTTGCAGCGCGATGGCATAGCGGGCCTAGGTGGAAGGTCACAGTGCATAATGACGGCACCAGTCCTACACGCTAAGTACGACTCCCATTAAATCTAATCACCACCCATCCATGCATGTGTATAGTTAGTAGTACCGTATTTCTCAAACCCTCCGATCACAGACTCGGCCGCATCCTCTCGGGCCTCCTCAAGGAGCTCTACAGCATCCACCGCACGCCAATGTCGCGAAGAGTCACGATCGCGACGCACTACACCACGCTGCTGCAGGCATGGCGGACGAGCCTTCCAGCGTTCCTCGACCCGGATAAGGTGGAGCCTTCGCTCCTTATCCCAATCTTGCAGCGCCAGAGCCGCATGCTGAGCTTAGCCTACGCACATACGGTTATATTAATTAACCGGCCGTTCCTGCTGAGTAGTTTTGCGAGTCTCAAGTGGCGGAAGGGCCATGAGGCTGGCGAGTACGAGGGGAATGTCCGCCAGTGTCTAGACGCAGCCATGATTATTGCTGGGATTGTGGACGACTATAGTGCTGGGCAGCAGGTGTTTTCTGCCTTCTGGGTAATTAGACCATAATCTCTCCATCTCTCGAGACGGTGATGCTGATATACAGAGAGTAGTTCACACAGTATGTAGCTTTCTGTGCGGTCGTAATACTCTATGTGTACACGATCCAACGCAAGCTCGACAGCCCGCTAGTGTGGGAAAAGTACTTCGAAGCGGCCGAGAAGTGTCAAGAGCAGCTCATGACCGCCGCCAAAGACAACTCTCTCGCACAGCGGTACCGCATCGTACTTGAAGAGCTGAAACTAGAAGCGACGGAACAGACGAGGGGGCAGCGGCAGCAGCAGGCGATCGATACGTTTGGGATGATGGGCGGGTATGAGGGCGAGGTTTGGACGGAGGAGATTGAGGAGACGAGTCCGAACAGTATAATGGCGGACCTGACGTCGTGGGAGGAGTTCGACTATTTAGTGATGGATTGTATGGGCAGCTCGGGGGCGGCGACGTTTGCACAGGGCGTGGGGTTTCATGATGCAGCGGCGTTGGGGATTGCGTTGTTGTGAACTGAGGCTTTGTATTCACGTATTAACCTTCTAAAGGAACTAATGGATGCAAACTTGGATCACCTGAGCTGCTAAAAGATTTCATTCGAGTGAGGATGATGAAGGTGATGATGATAATGATGGTGGTGGTGGTGTTGGTGATGATGATGATGTTCTACGATGAAAAGATGAAGTGAAATCTATACTAGGGCTTGTCTGTTCTGGCCACATATTCCCGCCCGTCTACGTTTCCACTGCTGAGTTCTTTCGTACCAATTACATGTACCTAAGCGGCATGCGCCACACAGTGCAGGTTCAACTTGAAGAATTCTACTTTTTAGAAACAAAGGTTCGCAAACATCTATACCATGCAGACGAACATGAAGCTCTACTTATCTCTCGACGATAAGTCGCTTTATTGAGAGGCTAGAAGAAAGATTATACAAATTGCCGCTGCTTGTATGTGTATAGTGATGGCACTCCCGCCCTAGTCGAGACCTATTTCAGATTTATAGAACTACATGTACTAGCCCGATTTTATCTGAGTTTATAAGCTTCTGGCAAAGTTTAGCAGGTTAGCTTGATAGCCTAAAAGATTAACAATTTATCTTGTAATCTTCTAGCCACCCCGTACATCTAATTCAGCCACACCAGAAAACAAATCGTACTAAACAACCAATTAAAATTGAGACCATATGTAAATTAAGTGAATTTTAAAGGCCAATGGCACTGACTACATCTTTATAACGAGAACCCGCTAGCTAGTAGATATCAGTCGTGACCCGAGTTCTGTTCACAAACCCCCGGACCGTTTATCTTATCTTGTAGTATCAGAGATTCAATAATATATACGTAGAGTGAGGCACAGCACCCACATAATAACAGAAAAGAGACTACATAAAATGATTGGAGCATAAAAGAGATTGATAGAGAAATGGCCAACCCCCCCAAAAAAATCACACCTCATCTTCATCCATCTTCTCTTCTAGTATTGAATTCTTGACCACATATGAAGAAATATGGTCCAGGGTTCAATATCAGAAAAGAGATCGATAAGAAAGGCGGGACTCTGGTTTCATCCTCATCCATCTCCTCCTCTAGTATCGAATTCTTGACCACATATGAAGAAATATGGTCCAGGGTTCAATATCAGAAAAGAGATCGATAAGAAAGGCGGGACTCTGGTTTCATCTTCATCCATCTCCTCCTCTAGTATCGAATTCTGAGCCACATCAAGAGGTATGGTCCAGTTTCAATAGCAGAAAATAGATCGATAAGAAAGGAGCAGTATGATAGGAGGAAGTAAGAAAAGAAACAAGAGGGCAACCCAGGACAGGCCTATTTAAGCAAACCCTGTAAACCTAAATGATTCGCCAACGTGGGGTTAACCCTGCCAATATCTTCTTGGCGTCATCAGTTATGATTCGTACCCGTATGTTCGCCCACAGGTGTTACATGTACCTTAGCAACAAGTACGTACAGGAATCCATTCGACACCGAAGCCCATCAGACATACACATAGATGTGTTAGGATTCTCTTTTGAAGGAAGGAAACTTGTAAGTACATGTACATATAACGTATCAATCTCAAGTAACCCATCCAGATCAATACATATATCCTTTAGCTTGCAATTGGTGAATAAGACGGATTACATTAATGTCCACACAGCTCGGCCATCCCTGTGTTTCCGCTTCTCCAGTGTATTCCAAGGCACAGCATCTTATCTTATAAACTATTTCTTTTACAAAAGCTAATAGCCGCATAGATTGTCATCTTATGACTACATGTAGTACGTAGTGTTATCTGTGAATATCCCATTAATATATTAACCCTCATGTTGGAGAAGATAGAACCAAGTTTCTAGCTCAAATACAAATTTATCAAACGGGCAATCAATAGCTGATACTCCCAGCAGAAATCTAGAGCTGAATGCAACTTCGAGAACACCCGGTAACCAGGGGCGAGCGATGCTAAGGTCGGGATGCCAAGTAAATGGACATTGATAATTCATACTTCTACATTTTCCCGAGTGCTCCATAGTGACGCACTCGTCGTTACTCTGAGCACGTGACTGTGCGACATGATAAAAAGATACATCGCAAATATGTTCAAGTCAGACATTATGGATATACCGGCTTATCAGTCTATATCTCTGAACCTGATAACCATATCTTGAACAAACCCACAAGCACTCTGATACATCACATCATCTTCTCCGGAATAGCATCCACACGCTAACCAATAATCACAGCTCGAACGATAAAGCCAATGTCGCCAATCCCGAGTATCTAAGAAGTGCACTCCCCCACTTCTCTCTCTTTACTTCTTCCTGCACCGAATTACCGATCCAAAGATTATCCTGCAGAAGCGAAAGATCTCACCTATCACTCAAGATTACACCATGGCAAATCATATCTTGAAACCGAATTGACTATGATAACGATCGAATGGGACACAATTGATGCCAAACATGTGTACTTAGTGGGACACGATACCGATGGATAACACTGCTGTAAACACTGCCTTCCTTCCAGAACCTACGTGATAATTCATGACCAACGAGACTAATGTGAACCTCAACTAGCTCAATGCAAGCCAAGAAAGCACATTGCGAAACACAAACCATGTGTCGATCCCTTCAACACAATTGGCTCCATCTTCCTCTTTTTTACTTCCCCCGCATCCTACGTGTTTTATCATTACCTTTTTTTTTCTCCTACATACGTTCCGGATTCCGCCACCTCACCGGAGCCTCATCTCTTTTTCTGCACTTACAAACTTGGCCTATCTGATTGAGAGTGACAGCTGGTATGGCAAAACTCAAATCCAGATATCGAATCAGGAACCCATGAACACATTCGGGTACGTGGGAGGCAGAAAAATTGCCGGCCTGCGCAGTATCCCATTTGTCTTTTGTGCTTCTAGAGTCCCCTAGGGCAACCCCAAGTAAGGCTGAGTAAATACACAGATACACTAAAGGGGACAGATAAGTGTGCCATTCTTGATTACTTAGCTACCGACATATTCACATACATACACCCAAACCTCCATAACGTGGGGGCTCCTCCATCACTGGATGAGGGCTGAAGACGCGAAACTGAGCTAGATTACCTATCCACATATCATCGACGAGCCTCACAAGGTCATGTCTCGGAAAAAATTGATCCGGGGACGTACGAAAAGAAAAGAAAAAAAAGATAGAGATCTGGTAAGATCCAAAGTTCGACTACTCTACCTACCCTACATACAAAGAAGAAGAAGAATCCCGGAGAGAGACAAGTACGTACCGGATAATTGTTTGGAATAGACCTACTTGAACAAGTAGCACTCCCGGCACCGAACCTCCCTGGCCACCGGTCTGAGACATGCAGACAGACTTGGTCCGTGCTTGAGACCATCAAAATCCGGGCGGCTTTTTCGGCGAAGAACGGTTGATTGATTGCCGTGATTGATTGTCGTTCACTAGAGTAGGAGAAATATACTAGAGCAGCCAGACATACGTGGGTGGTTGATTTCTGCATGATGTAAAGATTTCTTCGATTCGGGCGGAACGGAGCGAAAGCACACAACTAGGGCAGCAAATTTTCAAAGCGGTGGAGTGGATCAGATAGGCGACCATTCAAATACCAAGATGGCCGCAGCTTGGAAGGTGCGCAGAAACAAGCACCTTATTAGGGGCCAGCAGCTAGATACATGGCTCTTCCCTTATCGATTTCAAGGCAACTATGGGCGAGCGGTGAAAAAGTCCGAACCGTATACCCATCCGTACAATTACAATCTTTCAGCTGTCAACCAGTGTTTTACTCCCAACCAACCACGAACAACCACCACCGCTGTTACTGACTCGACTCACAATCGGAAGAAAGAAAAGCTTTCGATCGAATATCCTATTGATCATCAAGTGCACAATATCCACCTTCAGCTGTAGCGTTATCACAGATAACATCCCAACAATTTTTTTTTTTTTTCCCTCTCCTGCGCTTGTCTCCACCCAGCCAGTGATAACCGCGCCCCCCACAGCACAGCCGCGAGTGAGGGCTCATGACGGATCATACATTCTCACTCTTCCACCCCCCACGCTCTCCGCCCGGCCGGTGTTTGTGTTCATGCAGGATGTGGGCCATCACTCGACGAAATTTCTCATTGGGGCGAAAACCGGCAGCACGCATTGCAGCTTCTCATTCGCGAGGTTTCATGTATGCATTACACTTTATTCGATTGCTACTTTACACGTGCATATGTACCACCGGTCCCCATCGAAATAAAGAATTTCTAAATATAACAGCCACAGCCACAGGGCATAGCCATGCAGCCGGTGAAGTAAGGTAAAGAGAGATAAATAGAGAAAGATGGAAAAAATCTAGCTTATATATGTACTGGATACAAAGGGAAAAAATGGTTAAAAGAGCCTGTTTTGTGAAAGAAAAATTCATCACACATTATGTACTCGTAAAGGGAGAGTATATGTATGCATATATATATGTATACGCCAGATCCAAAAGGTAAAAGGGGATAAGTAAAAAAGCGCCTAGCTGGGCTGAACTGGCAGAACCTGGGACTGAAAGTGTTAGATAGTGAAACATGCCGTCGGCAATAGACCGCTATGACGATGATGATGATGTTGGTGTTGATGACAAAGGAAAAAGGTATTAAAAAGGATCGTTTTTATGATCGAATGAATGAGAGTGAGTACTGAGTGAGTGAGTTGACGATGAAACAGTTTTGTTGTTGTCATCCCCAACCCTCAGTTGTGCCGTGTCGCCAAGTTTTCCACATAGACGCGTTAAGAGAAACCCACAATGGGAAAAAATATCGCCGTAAACAAAGGAAAAAAAAAAAAAAAGACCACCCCCCATAATGAACCTCCCAAACAATTCGATATCCCCAGGGCCGTGAAAAAGAATACCCACAACCGGCCGAAAAATTGAAAAACATAATAGAAACAAAAAAGAAAAGATTAAAACGGCCAGCCCCAGCATCAGATCTTCTTTTTCAGAAAAATCTCCGCCCAATGATAATGGAAAAAAATGAAAGAAAATGCATAGAAAGGTCCACCATTTAGGCCTCCTCCTACTTTTTACCAAAGCCCCTGAACCAGCCCTTCTTCTTTTCCTTCAAGCTGGCCGCCACTATACTTGATGCCTTCTGCTTCTCCACCAGCACAACCGTTGCAGGCTTGCTCTCGCTCTCAACGGGGGTGATGCGGTAGCGCTCTCTTGTCTCTGAGAGCTGTGGTTTTGTAGTATTTGTAGAGACCAATTGCGGCGATGACCGGGACTGCGGTGATGACCGAGGCTGCGGTGTCCGTGATTGTGAATGTGACGGTGGTGTTCTTGACTGTTGACGCGGTGGTGGCGTCCGCGATTGTGGTCGCGGCTGTGGTGTCCGCGATTGCTGACGCGGTTGGGGGACGACATTGCTACTTGCCTGTCGCGGTCTTGCTGGCTGCGGGCGAGCCTGCGATTGCGGGGGTTGCGTTGGGCGCGGGGATTTCGTATTTATCCGCTGCGGGGGCGGCACCGAGGATGTTCGCTGTGTTTGTGGTGGTGGGGGGGGTGGCGGTGCGGCCTCAATGGCTAGTCTTCGTTGTCCCTGCACCTGCGGGGGAGCGGTACTCCTTCGGTCATCAGCTGTGAGCCTTTTTGGTTCTGCTGGTGCCGCTGCCGCTACCTCCTTCTCCTTCTCTACCTTGACTACCGCCCTGCTACTCTCCATACCCCGTCCTTCCTTCACGGCGATCATGTTCTCTACCCGGGTCTCATCCATCTTCTCCCATAGCTCCCTTAGCCCACCCTCACAGTTGTCCAGCGCGTCCTTGCACCCACCACATAGCCTTACTGCACACCATGTGCAGTAGTAGCTCCTGTTCACGGGGACCCCACGGCCTTCAAACTCCATGGCGCGGCACACGGCACATAGGATACTATGCTGCTTGTTCCTAAATGGTGCCCACGTGTGGTCCACCGCGCAGTCGAACTGTATCGTGTGTAGTGGTGCCCATGTGTGTTTCGACAGATCCGGGGCTGGCATGTGAATTGGGCTTGGCGGGCGTTGTGGTGGGCGCTGGAAGCTGGTGGGGCGTTGGCGGGGTGGTGCGGGTGTGCTGGAGGCGGGGTCGACAAAGTTGACACGTTTACCGGCGGGGAGGATATTGGTAGATGAGGCGGATGACGAGGCGGGGGTTGGTGGGCCGCGGCTGTAGGGCTCGGTATTGGTGCGAATAGAGAGCTGTGTTGAAGACTTGGAGGAGGTGGAGTCTTCGGTGAGAGGGGGCGTGGATGGGCCCGGACGCATCACGGAGGGCGGGACTGGTGCTGCCGTTGTGGTTGTTTCCGGGGAGGGGGTGCTGGTGGGCGTGATGTAGTATGATAGCTGGGTGCTAAGTTCCGTGGCGGGTTTGCTGAGGTCAATGTGGGAGGGTCTGGTGGTTGGTGCAGACTGCGGGAGTGATGAGGTCCTGGAAGTGAATTTTGCACTTGCGGTTGCCATGGCGGGGTGCTGCGTGTCAACGGTGAGGGTGTCGGGGATAATGGGCGGCATTGTTCTTGTCATCATGGTCGTAGTGGCGGTAACAGTGGTGGTGGCTGTTGGCATTTCTTCTTCTTCACTTGTATTTGTTGCAGCGGCAAGTGGTTCCGATGTCGTGCTATTGTTCTTCTTCTCCTCTTCTACTTTCTGCTGCGTCTGAACTGTAGTATTCTGGACTGTTGTGTTCTGAACTATTTCTTTCTGAGCAGTATTCTGAACTGTGGTATCCTGAAGTGTAGTATCCCGACGAATTGTAGTATCCGGACGAATTGCAGTATCCCGACGAATCAGAGTATCCTGAACTGTGGTATCCTGAACTGTGGTATCCTGAACTGTAGTATCCCGACGAATTGCAGTATCCCGACGAATTAGAGTATCCTGAAATGTGGTATCCTGAACTGTGGTAGTCTGAGCAGGAGCAAGATCTATAATCCCCGTATCCAACAAAGGCAATGAGAATTCCAATGGCGGTGCAGCAACAACAGGCGGTAGTAGTGCGCCTTTACCGTGCACGACAAGTCTTGACGGGCTCTTTTTATTACTATTATTATTATTTGTCGCAGCAGTGGCAGCCGTGGTGGACCTTCTTGCACTTCCGAACGGCAGTCTCGACGAGGATGAAGAAGCGGCGGCAGCAGCACGGGAGGAGGCAGTAGTAGAGGCAACAGCAAGAGAAGAAGGAGAAGGGGTCCTCTTCAATGTACTAGTAGTCGTCTGACTCTGACGTGGTTTCGACAATCTCTCCACAACAGATAAAGAAGAAGAGGTTTGTGTGACGGCAGCGCGGGCTGAAGAAGAAGACGAGCGATTACTCGAGGGGTGCAGGTGGTGGATCTGTCCCTGGGCCACTGGAACGCCAACAGACCCGCCAACCCCAGCCGATTGGTGCCGGCTCTCATCGCCAATCGAAACGTTCCCCTGCGTGGTAGTAGTGGAAGTTGTTCCAGTAGTGCTACCGGAGGTGCTTGTGGTGGTGGCCGTGGTGGTGGTGGTTGTGCAAGTTCTATTTTTTCCACCGCCAGTCAATGAACCCCCGCGCGTCAGGATGTTGTTGAGCCCGAAGCGGCGCTTCCATGACTCTGATCGCTGGAGTTTCGTGTTTGAATCTGCATTATTCTTATTCTTATCTTTAGCAGTGATGGTAGCTGTACTAGCTACACTGATGGTTGAGGCTCTTGAGGACCTAGTAAACGAGACGAAACTCCTCCGGGGTTCTGCCGGTTGTGACGATCCTTCTGCTGCAGCCACTGTTTTGGACTTCTTCAGGATAGATCGATGCTTCTGCATTGCTGGGACTGCTGTCGGTGTTGTGAGGGTAGTGGTGAGCCCATCATTAGTACTGGCACGAGCACTGGTGATGGTGTTTGTAGTTTTCCGAAGTCGACTAGAACCGGTGCTGCTGCCCTCGCGGGGCGAGGAGAAGAATGACGGCATCAATTGCAACACACAAAATCCTCATTCACTGTACAACGAGAAATGAAAACAAAAAACAAATGGGTATCGTGAATTGTATCTTTTTTTTGTTACTTCTTGTCTTTCGTCTCTCTTGGGTATCAATTCTTCGAGCTCTTCCTCCTCTTGTTCTTCACGTAGGTATAGAAAATAGTAAGTAGTAGGGCGCCGGTAGATTAGGCAGGTAGATTTGTATGGGTTGGTAAGGTATGGCAGTACGGTATGCAAATAGCCGGGGACCTTTAATTTTCCCACGTTTTCAGATCAAATTAAAGTCCGATTCTTGGGTTTTTCTGTATTCGGTATAGAAAGACAATAAAACAAATATTGGAGGAAGATTCGAAGGAGCGATGAGGAGGGGGGCGGTGGAACGAAAGGCGGCGGTGCAAATTGCTAGGGAGCTTGTCTGTAGCTAAAATTAAAGCGAGAGGCTGGCCGGATGAGATATCCTGGATGCGTAGCAGGAAACAAAACAAAACGCTCGAGACGGTTTTGAACAGGCTTCAATGCTGTAACTTTTGAAAAATAACAAAAAAGAGCGCGAGAAAGACAGTAGGGAGGTGTGTGGGCAGTATGTAGCAGTATGAAGGCAGAGAGAAAGTGGGCAGTTACAGACAGCAAGCCAGTAGCAGCAATACAAAACGATCGGATCTGGGGGTCTATTGAACGCGCAATACAAAAAAGTGCACAAAAAGGCTAACCTACCACTTCCAAATGGGCCGAACACGGCACTGGCTGTCAGAGCTCGAGCTTTCCACGGTTCTTTCCTTCCATTCCTGCTAGGTAAGCTACCCTTTCTGCATACAGAGAGACAAACCCTCTGTTCTCTCGTCCTGATCAGTCGTTCTCTCTCTACCAAAAACAAATAAAAAGAGGCTGAAATCCAAGACAGCCCCATCGTGACGTGGAGTGCCGAGGCCACATTCGTTCGCTGCCGAAGAAGCGAATTGATTAACCCCTCAGATTGGGATCTTCAAACACGGCTGAACCTCTGCGGTCCATCTAAATTGGGGATGTGATAAGATACCCGCCGACCAGGGTTTTTTCCCGCTTTTCCTGTCTTCTCTATGGTCGGTATTCGGGTGGAAGATACAACCGACCACCACTACCACGAGGGAGGCGAAAGGGAGGAAGCATAAATGAGATAGAGCGATACAGATAGATAAATAGATCCGACAGAATCAAACCAGAACTCGCTTGAAGTTGCGTATCAGGGTCCTCCATAGCTTCTCCACATCCAGAGTAGATAAACAGAGCTCAATGCCCTATCTGTATGCAACTGAGACCCTTTTGTGCGTTAGGTTTAGGTAGACCATTGTCCTGCGTGAACGTTGTTTCTCTCCACCAAAATCATAAAACCTTGTTACTCGTCGCGCCGTGATTCCGTAACTCAGGTACTAGTACTCTAAACCATGCTCTCTACAAACTAGAGTACGCCTACCCCAGTTATCGTGACATCACAGCCCCTTTCCCCAAAACAGATCCTGGCCAGATTCTCCCTCTTCTTGGCGATCCAACCCAAATGTTAAGAAGCCCCACCCACATCAATCACACACGGGCCAACTGAATCATTGACAACACAACGGAAGTACCCCCCCTCTCATCCACCCATCTTCTTCTTCTTCTTCCTTCTTTCGTCTCCCAACTCGATGCATGGAGCATACCGCGAATCGAACCAACAGATCTATGGGCATCTTTGTCTAAGAGTGCGATCTACTCTAGTCCATTATGCCCCAGGCTCGCAGTGTCGGAAGTATCTTAATGTACCCCTAGAGTTATGTACCCAAGAAACAACATTCATCCATCACTCACCAACGATAACAACTTTACATGTCTTGAGTGACAACATAAACTGTCTCCATCCAGGTTAGGTTAGGGCTAGCACCCCGATTTAGATTGAGATCGCCCCTTATTTTCTTTTCTCGCGCGCCAGGCCAGGATGAAAAAGAAACGTGGGCAACGAAGGAACAGGAACAGGCCAGGAACAGCCATCACTCCCTGGGTTTATGTTGACAACTGTCACCGTGGACCTGTCACTGATAACACGAGACGCCATGTTTACGGAATATTTCGTAGTTGGGCATGCCGACTCACACCATAAAAGGAAGAATCAATCTGCTTTGAGTCATGACAGGAAAACTGCATATCTAGGCTAGGCTACGAAGTTAATGTCTGTAAGACTTCTAGGACACCTCTAGCCGAAATTAGCCTTTACGGGTTAAAATGGTATCGTGAGCGCGTACCTGCGGCGAGTGAGACTTTATGAAGACACAGACCCGAACACTCTGACTAGTGGTGGGTGTTGTTTGGACATTAGTTTGTCGACGAGTATTGAAATAAGATCCTCGTCTAAGCGAATCTACGCGAGGTAGGTTAGTTACTGTAAATCTATGTACTCTACAATCCCTACTATATAATGAATGTACTTCCCCGCCTGGTATCTTCAAAGTGTTAATACTCTGGGTACATACCGGCGATTCGTGCAGCCTTGGGAATGGCCTATGGCGGGAGGATACTGACCTTACTGGGCTTACTGTTACCGGTTCTTGCTGTAAGCATTCCAACAAGGAAACGAAAACTCTCCTAATGGACTTGTATTCTGCAGGGTGCATGCATCATGCAAGTAATGTATTGCAAATATGATCGAGTAAGTAATAGGCACTCTTCTACCCTTGGTACTCGAAAGTAATCTGTAGACTTGACGAACGGTAAGTAGTCTTGTCCTGTAGAATTGAGCAAGTTTATAATTCAAGTCCGCGGAACCTTGCTCAGCAAAAGCGCGATTCTTCAATTCAGCGTTCTAGGCCATTGCAAAGAAGACTGGATATCGCTTGACTTGATTTTGCCATGTAGTCTGACATACCTTCGAAAATCAAAATACCTCGCTCATTGCTCCACCAAATCATTGTTCAGAAACCCATATCCAGAGTATAATCTCATTAGATAGTCGGCTACCGTTTAACAGCCTGTTGTGCCCATTTCATTCGGTCGTACCTCTTCTACCTACCTCGTTTTTGCTTGTGCAACTCCATTGTTCCCGCTTATGTACTCGTGCCGGCATGTGGTGAGTCTCAGCCGGTACAGATGTCTGAGAATCAGGTAGGATAATCAGCCGCACAGGTCACGGTGGCGGCCCTTACCAATCCTTAAATTCCCCTGCCGGGCTGCGTCTGGGTTCCTCGAGTGAGAGTCCGTGATGAGACTGAAAGTGCAGGTTATCTTTTTATCTGATTTCGTCCTATCAAGCCTGGCTAATGTTGCCTGGGAGACGTGAAAAATTATTCTGCTGGTTAGGTGGCGAGCCTTGGAGGTCTGGGCACTATATATACCATACAGATCGTCGCTGATATGCATCCACTTTGGTGAACATTTTTTTTTTTTTACATTGCTGGGTCTCATGCTCTCAGCCACCCGGCGCCACATTATTCGTGCTTATCAGACGATGCCCAGCCGTTACGCTACTAGAACATATGCGTAAACCTGTGGAGTGCAATCATTTGTGGGCATGATTTCCAGAGGTGCCGTTGAGATATAGGATTCCGAATCCGGCGTATACGATCGAGCGTTGCAACGATATTGCATACCGTTTTTTCCCGTTAGAAGTTCTCTATCGACCGTGGAACCTTAATTTGAGGTAACGTCATTTTTGGAATTTGATAGATACATACACAGAATATTAAATCCGTCTTTTTTTTTCTGTGGACTAATGTTACCGAATGGATAGGTAGAGTGGTGTGCGTATTTCATATCATGTGCTAATTTCTTGAAGAGCAGCATAGCTAGCCGATGTGGTGCTTCCGGATTAGGTATCGGACCAGCTATAAATGGCGTGTTATATGTATAGAGGCTGAATGAGGAAGCAGAAGCTTAATATCAGTCGATTGCTTTCCCATCGCAGAAGTGTATACCTCATTCAAGTTGTTCGGATTCTGAAAGTCTCTCAAATGGAACAGACGCTTCATGATACTCTCCAGCCATAAGAGGTCCCATGGGCCCCCAAGAAAGTTGATGACCACTCACTAAAGGCTCTGCTTAATTTCGACTGAATGAGATACACGGCGAGGAGAGGAAGACACAAGCCTATTTTCTTCCACAGCTGCGAATGTCGGTAGGACTAAAGATTTCCCTTCCAGAAATGGCTTTGGTCCGGTGTTTTTTGTTTGGCACCACACCAGTAATCGTCCGGTTTTGTTTGATTTGGGAGGTGGAATGACTGAGCTCGAGCGCATGCAAGGGACAACCTTGGCCCAACCTAGCAGGTCCATACAATTAACACTCCAGCATGGAGAGGCGTTTTTGTTCTTTGAGAGTATAGGAATCTGTAGGTAGGCCATTGGCCTATCGATTACGGGCAGTCCAGTGCATAACTATTGCACACCTTATCTTTACCAAAGATCGAGTGATATTTGATGATTCATCCGTCTTCCTTTACGGGTGAGGGCAAGAACTTACTGACTCTTGATTTCCAAAGTCAGTCTCATGATTTAAAATCATTGGGTAGGGGGTAGAGAGGACCTACGTGGAATGCTCTAAAAGCTGATGCTTGTAGCCCATACTGTCCCACGTTTTTAAGTCTGACATGCCACCAGCCGAGCATAGCCGAATAGTGCTATCGTAAGGTAGAGCCTCAAAAGTAATGAAGACGCAGTCTTTTTGTACGGCCACACATCTGCTGTAGATCCTATCAAATGAATGAAACAAAGTCAGCAGCTGTTTCAGTTGCAAGAGCGATCAGTGAAACTGCTGGAGGCTCAAAATGGCACTGATAAGGACATTTTCCTGCTGAACATTAGCAGATTTGACTTGGAAAAGGTATGTAGAAGAAGAGTATAAAGACGGAATAACAGTTTCTGGGTGATTTTACAGCAGCGATAGAGCGGGGTTGTCTAGGAGCAGCATAACGATGGGGAGGAGGGTTCTAGTACCTGCATTGATGGTTCAATGACCATAGGGGAGCTTTATTTGAATCCCGAAGATAAGAG